GTGTTTCACATCTGCCACCCAGTCTCACTGTATCAACCTCTACCTGCATGTCTTCCTGCCTGGCTCCTACCCCAATCGCTCCCATTCACACGCTGCAGGTGCTAGTGGAGGGGAACTCCTGAGTGAACGTGAACTACTGTCGTGTCAGGGCTCCCATTTATTCTAAGCTAGTATTTTTTAGTCCACACTTGGCCTTTAAAGAATTACTTAAAATCTTAGCTGATGTCTGCTGGGAGACAGCTCTTCCTGGGTCTCTTGTGTTCCTGCCACGATCTGTGAACAGAGGCCCTGACAGACTGCCTCTGTTCTGGACTACTTTTTCAGCCTAGGAAAATACCACCTCTCTCCAGGAGAGACAGGTTTGATTACTCCCCACTGTAATAAATAGGTCTCCCTCCAGAACGAAGGGCACGCATGTGTAATATCCGTTATCCAATATTTAGGTTCCCTGAGCTCTCAGGGTTCCTTCCCTATAACGCAGCCTCGTGTGGGCTGCAGTCAGGGAACCAATACAAACAGTGATGCTCTGAGATATGTTATTATAGTGAGGAATTAAGTCCTCTGTCTCTGAGTCAGGAACCTGGAAGCTAACAAAACTGGCAGGTAGGGTAAAAACTTAAACTAATAATAATTTTTTCTTAACTTGCTTTACTGGCAGCCTCCGATACTCTGCCAAAGGTGGGATGGTTCATATCTCCTGTCTTTCCTTGAAAGGGCTTGTCACTCTGACTTCAGTTCCTTTGGTTGCCTTCTCTGATGGGTGTAAGAAAAGTTATTATTATTTTCTTGTTGTTAGGATGGGAGTAACATTCTCTTGCAGCTTTCTACATCTTAAGTGGAAGCATAGCTCCCAAGGTATACCTACTATTTGATTACTTTTTGTTACCAAAGACAGGCACTTAGTGATCTGTAAACTCTTATTGTTCAGCATATACCATGTTTAATTAGCTTTTAGAAGAAGCATAGCTTGAGGGATGGACTCCAGGGATTTTGGAAAAAACAGCTCATGGGAAATTTCAACCGAAGAGCTGGAAGCAATGGCCCTTGGATGCGTTTACCTTCTAACAGGTGTGGCAGGAGAAACTAAAAGAATCTGACCCCTGAGTGGTGAAATATTATGCGAAATGCACATATGCACTGGCCAACAAGTCTTATAGAGGATTGGGGGACATACGGGAAAACTACAGGCATTGGGGGCTCTTGAAGCTCTCAAAAATGGGCAGGAGGATGTGACAAGGAGTCCTGAAAGGATACGAAGGACAGATGGAAGAACAGCAAGTGGTGTTGTAAGAACAACCTCTCCACAGTCACACCTTTTTCTGCCCTTCACATTCATCCTCACTTCTTCTGATAAACAGAATCTAGATTTCTTTTGTAAAATTTACTTCCTCTACATTGTGGAAGTCTGCTTACTCTTCCCCTGACCTACTTTCGCAGGACTCCCCGAAACAAAGAGGATTAGAAAAATATTTGGAAATAATTCAACACTGAGCTGTTAGTTCCTGCTACATAGATCCTTGGTTCCTCTCTTTGCTTAAATTTTCTTCTAATCCCATTAATTACCCAAAATAGGCGGTTCTCGATGTCCAGGGATATTGCATCCATGTAGTCAACCAACCATGGATCAAATTATCTTTTTAAAAACAAAACTTGCAATTGACACACTAAGCACTATACTGAATCCGCATGATGATGTGAAGTTATGTGCAGGCACACCATGCCGTAGCCTATATGCAAATATAAGTCACATGCAAATATAAGTTACATGCAAATGCTATTCCACTTTACATATGGGACCTGAGTATCCTCAGAAGGGAGGGGTCCTAAAACCAAAGCCTCTCAGATACCAAGAGAAGACTGTATTGCCATTTTGCTTAAATTAACCAGGATTGAATCTGTGTTGCTTGCAACCAAAGAAAACCAAGATATAGGGTATATGTAGAGAACATGAAAGTAACCTGAAATCCATATACTTTTAAAAAAATTATTTAAAAACCATGTATAATAACTGTAAAAAATGTTGGCTTTAATACAATGACTAATCAATTTCCTGTTTCTTTGTGCTTATAACTAACTAGCATTTTCTAATGGTTAGGCTGACAATATTTTATTATTATAACCTATATTTAGAGTTCATCTCCTATTTCCCATATTAGAAATAAAAACAAGTCCTAGCCAGTTTGTTCAGTGGTTAGAGTATCAGCCCACGGAATGAAGAGTCAAGGTCTTGATTCCAGTCAAAGACACATACCTTGGTTGCAGCTCAATCCTTGGCCCCAGTCAGGGTGTGTGCGGAAGGCAATCAATAGACATGTCTCTCTCACATTGATGTTTCTCTCTCTCTCTGTCTCTCCCCTTCCCTTCTACTCTCTCTAAAAATCAATGGGAAAAATATCCTCAAGTGAAGAGAGAGAAAGAATTAACTGAAATAATACACATTACATGCTACAGGATAAAAATTAAGGAGGAGGTACAGAGAGTAGCAAATGATCTATTACAATGAGATTTATACATTTATTGAATTGAGCTGTTTGTGATTTTTTTAAAATTCCAATTATGAAAGTCATTTGTACTAGGTAAACCATATGTGGAGAAAATTTCAAGCAAAGATATACCAAGTAGGTAGTACAGTAAAAAATACAGTGGAGTATAAAATAGGATGGTCTCAACAAAGGTCTCAAAAAAAGCACAGAGCAAAAATGAGGTGAATTACTGCTGGATAAGCCCAACAAGTGCTGTTGGAATGAAAAATTATTTTTTTGGTTAATCTCACCCTCTCATTATATAAAAGAGGTCCAATGGCCTAGGAAGACCACTTGATTTGTCCAGAGCTTACAAGGATAGATTTCACACAGGGTTCAGAGGAAGAAGGCACTTTTTTTTTTTTTTGAGGAGAATTACAGAATGTTAATTCCTATTTAATCTGAAATTTAGCATTTATAACTTGTATAAATAAAAGAAGGTTAAGACAGATCAACCCATCAATTCCACTTCTGTGACTATATCCTAAAAACCCCAAAATTCCAATCAGAAAAAAAATATGCACCCCTATGTTAATAGCAGCATTATTTACAATAGCTAAGATTTGGAAACAAGTGCCCATAAGATAAATGCATTTAAAAAAAAAACAAAAAAAAAACTGTGGGACATTTACACAACAGAATACTATGCACTGTAAAAAGAGGGATCTCTTACCCTTTGGAACAGCATGGAAGGACCTGGAAAATATTATAAGTGAATAAGCCAATCTGAGAAAAACAAATATAACACGATCTCACTTATTTGTGGAATCTAATAAGCAGAATGAATTGACCAACAAAATAAGACCCGAAGCATGGAGGCATGGAGCAGACTGACATACCTTGATGTGGGGCTGGGAGGATGAGAAGAGATAAACCAAAGAACTCATATAAATTACCTGAGGCTCGATGCACAAAGATTCATACAAGACTGGGCCTTCCTTCTCCTGGCTGTCGGCACCACCTTCACTCTGACCAGAGTCACCTTTCCACCTTCCCATGCTGCCCAGAGGCCCAGAGCAGGTGGGGTGGTGTGGGCCACTCAGCTGCTGCATATGCAAATCAACCCAACATCTTTATTGGGTTAATTTGCATATTCACTCCCGATTGGCTGGTGGGCATCGCAAAGGTACGGTCAATTAGCATGTTACTCTTTTATTACGTAGATAGGCATAATCCATGTATATGGGCAATCGGGTAGTGAAGACATGGAGGGGCAGAGGCTGGGAGAATGGGGGTAAAGGGGGGAAAAGGAGAGATCTGTAATAATATCAATAATAAAAAGTTTATTTTAAAAAAGTAAAAAAACAAAAGATTCTCTTTTACAGATGTTCTATATATATATACATATATGAGAATTATATTATTATATAAGATTTGTCATATATTCTATTATATAATATGCCTATATATAGAATATGTAATAAACCTAACACAACATATATTATGATATATATCTCACTCTGAGTCTTTTTAGGGTTATGTTATTACTTTTTAAAAATATTATAAACAGAATTTATAAGATAAGGTTGTGTCCAGATAATTATCAGGATAAGGCCAGCTAATATTCAGGATTTTTTCAAACACAGTAACTGAGTAGAACCAAAAAATTCAGGGAGCCCACTCTGCTAAGGTTAATATAACACAGGGTTACTTAATCTTGGCACTATTGACATTTGTGTAGGATAGTTCTTTGTTGTAGGAGGCTGCCCAATGCATTATAGGGTGTTTAGCAGCATCCCTGGCCTCTGCCCACTAGATGCCAGTAACACCCCTAACCAAAAATAACTCCTGGCATTGCCAAAAGTCCCCTGGGGGCAAAACTGCTCCCTGGTTAAGGACTATTGTTAAGAACTAACTGTTCTCATGGTTAACATCATGAGAACAAAACAGATACAACTGCCAGCTGTATGATCCCACTGTTGAGTCAACTGTGGTTAAACTAGAGTTACATTTATATTTTAGTTCAAAATACATTAGGCTAGAACTAAGTTAAATTAATTATACTAGAGCAGAGCTATCCGATACAGTAGTTAGCAGCCACATGTTGCTACTGAGCACTTGAAATGTGGCTCCTCTAAAGTGAGCTGTGCATTAAGCACACAATATGCACTTGATATGGGAAAAAAAAAGAAAAGAATGTAAACTATCTCATTTTTTATGATAAATGAACTATTTCGGGTATACTCGCTCATAAAATATATTATTAAAAATAATTTCACTTGCTTGCTTTTACTTTCTTTAATGTGGCTACTAGAAAATTCTAAATTACATATATGGCTCATATTATAGATATTTGAAATAACTTAGTATTATTTTTTAATGAAATAAATTCTTAAGTCTATTAAGTAAGCCAAATAGATCTTGGAAAGCTTTCCACAGCCCTATTGAATCAGCTCACTTTTGAACATCATAACTCTTATCATGCCTAACTGATTTTTCTGCTTTAAACACATTACTTCTATTCCATTGCTTTATTCTCTATAATTCAATCCATTCGTTTCTTGCTGCTGATTTATCTTCAGGTTGTTTATCATTCTCCTGAATGTCAGTTTCTTTCATACCCTCAGGACCTTTCCTAGTGGGATGTTGAGATGCTGCAGCGTCCATCATACGTAGAAAATCGTAAGCAGGAAGAGGAGGTTTCCATTCCTGAGCAGATAAAATTGCTGGAAAAAATATATAATCAAGGGTTAACGATGAACAGATAAAAAAAATCATCACATACATATACTAAAAAATGGTGGGTGTTTTTTAAAATATATTTTTATTGATTTCAGAGAGGAAAGAACAGGGAGAGATAGAAACATCAATGATGAGAGAGAATCATTAATCGGCTGCCTCTTGCACGCCCCTTACTGGGAGTCGTGCGTTCACTAGAATCAAACCTGGGACTTTTCAGACTGCAGACTGACGCTCTAGCCACTGAGCCAAACCAGTTAGGGCAAGAAAATGTTTTATTTTTTTAAATATATTTGTAGAAGTGAAAACTTTATCACTTTTACTTACCTAAGCAAAACTATTTATTTTACTACATTATTTAAGAAACTTGATACATTCCTCACTAGTAGCTATTTTTATTTTTTATATTTGTACACTATCATATTGTAAATAAAGTTAGGAAAAAAACAAAAGATCCACCGAAACCGGATTGGCTCAATGGATAGGTCCCAGGTTCGACTCTGGTCAAGGACATGTATAATACCTTGGTTGCAGGCACATCCCCAGTAGAGGGTGTGCAAGAGGCAGCTGAATGATGTTTCTCTTTCATCGATGTTTCTAGCTCTCTATCCCTCTCCCTTCCTCTCTGTAAAAAAAATCAATAAAATATTTTAAAAAAAAGATCCATAATCTCCCTGCCAGCTAATCCTGTTGAAGTTTTAGAAAACAATAATATGTTTATGAGATTACCACATCAATAGGTACAAGTTAAAATAAAAAGGTTTCCTGCCCTCCGCTGCCTTTATCCCAAAGAACTGAAAATGTTTCTTATGAATGATTCAAAAATAAATTTTTGGCACATGCATATTTACTTCTTATCTAGACAAGGATTTCCTAACATTTTAAAGCATTTTCCTCTTTTGAAGCTTTTAACATCCTTTGTACATACTTCATTTTATAAAAATAATTATAGATAGTGATAATTAAAAGTTGTTTTGGAATCAACTATACTATAGACAGATGAATTGAATTAATTCTTAGATGGGCTTCTTATAGTGAATCTTAAGCATCATTTTTAAATTGAATTTATTGGGGTGATATTGGTTAATAAAATTATACAAATTTCAGGTATACAATTCTATAATACATCACATGTATATTGTATTGTGTATTTACCACCCCAAGTCAAGTATCCTTCCTTTTAAAGCATTGGTCACTAGAAGAGGAAAACTGATTTGAGCTTGATATCATGATAATTATATGATAAGATATATATGAGATTAATTAGCCCTCTTTTCTCCATTTAGTACACAGATCCTACAAAACAATTTTAGAAGTTAGTGGTCCGTTTAAAATACTATTTTGAGAAATGAACTATATAAGGAAATATGCCAAGTAAACCTTTTAAACATAAATTTCAGTGAAAGAATTAAAAAATTAACAATGTGAAAAAAGTAATGAATGTCCATAAAATATAAACTTAAGCATCTCTCATAAATCAAATAAATATATTTTAAAACTTAGGAAATTCATTTAAATTCTAATTTCCTAGAGTGGACTAAAGTTCAAACAAAAATCTGCACATATAAAGTGTATTTATACTCATTGGTATATAATTGGTTCAATAGGACTTAATTATATAAAATCCTAGTTCCTGGGACATCAGCAGGATATTAAATGTAAGCTATCTCTGTAATTTCAAATTATTGTTGCTAGGTTAGCAAATACAAAAGTGACAAACACATGTAGTAATAGTTTCTTGAATGTAATGAATAGGAGATAACAATAACTATTAGTAGTTTGCCAGATGCAAATAAAGTATCTTTACTAAAGACATTAAAGTGTCTTTAAGAAAAGTTCAACTTAAAGCATAGCACATATTTAGCAGTATTTTTTTAAATTTTTTAAGCAGGATTTTAAAAAGTAAACACTGCAGCCTAGTGGTCTGAGATGAAGACAAAATACCTAAAACCAGGTATCACAATTCTGCTAGTTATTTGCTGAGGGAATACTACAAAGGTCTTAAATATGTTCAACTGCAAATAAAACTGTACTCCCATTATGTATGGGTAATAGATACATTATTATCAAACTAGTAGTGATAATAGCTAGCATCTATTACTACATACCAGACATTATTCGTTTTAACCTTATAACCCATGAGGTAAGTATAATTATTATTCCAGTTTTATAGATGAGAAAGCCTAGGCCTAAAAAGGTCAGAGAATTTGACCAAAGTTAAGTGTAAATCCCAACTAAAATTTCACAGAAATTAAGGTGAGGCAGACACCTGTGGCACCTGTCTCAGATCCTCTCCCGCAGAGTGGAGAGCAGGCCTTGCCAGCACAGAAGGCAGGACCCAATACAGACAAGTACTTCTTCCTGCTGCACAGGCTGCAGGAATAACTCAAGAATAGGAACAGTGACAGAAAGAAATCATGGAAACCCCTCAAAGAGTGAGTGGAAAAGTCATTCATCCAAATTGCAATGGAATGCCCGGCTGGAGTGGCTCAGTTGGTTGAGCATTGTCTTGTGCACCAAAAGGTTGCTAGTTTGATTCCTAGTCAGGAAAACGGAATATTACTCATTCATAAAGAGAAATTAACTATTGACTCATGCCATAACATGAGTGATCCTTAAAGTTTTATGTTAAGTTATTCCATTTGTATGAAACTTCCAGAATAGGAAAATCTATAAAGACAAATTAGTGGTAGTCAGGGGTGGGAGGAGGGAAGAATGGGGAGTGATTGCTTATGGGTATAGGATTTTTTTTTAGGGCGATGACAACGATATAGAATTTAACAGAAGTAATAGTTGTACAGCCTTGTGAATATACTAAATACCACTGAACTGTAGGTTTTAAAAGGAGGAATTTTATGGTTTATGAGTTATATCCTATATAATAAAGAGCTAATATGCTAATTAGACCAGATGGTGGAACCACCTTCTGGAACAACCTTCCAAAATGACCAGTGGGCAGGGCTGCAAGGCAGCCGGGACTGCAAGGGCCAAGCCCCTTACACGAATTTCGTGCATCGGGCCTCTAGTTTCCATTAAAAAATACCATCTATAGACTACATACACAAAACTACCTAATTCAACAGAAATAAAGCAGACCACCTGGGAAGAACAGGTGTGCTACAATGACTAATGCTTAAAATAAATTTAAGTACCTAATTAAATATACACAAATATGCATAATGGTATACTCACACAATATATGCTAGTTAAGAGATAATATCACACTAAATGGAGTTTGTATACAAGAACTTTGTTTGTGTATATATACATATATTCACCTACACAGACACACACCTTACTTCAGAATTCTATCATGGAACAGTGTCAAAATATTATTATAATACTAGAGGCCTGTTTCACGATATTCATGCAAGAATATGCTTTCCTTCCTCTGGCTTCACTCCCCGCCGCCCAGGAGCCTGCATGATCCCGCTCCCGGGCCACCCAGAGCCAGCAAGTCCTCGCTTCTGTCTGGAGCACCGCTCCAGTAGCTCCCTCTCCGCCCTCCTTCCCCTCATAGCAGGCTTCACTCCGCTCAGTGCCTACATATGCAAATTAACCTCTATTTTTGTTGGTTAATTTACATACTCACTTTGATTGGCTGTGGGCGTAGCAGAGTGATGGTTAATTTGCTTGTTTCTCTTTTATTAGGTAAGATAGTTTATCTGATACTCAGTAACAAAATACTTGAATAGCACCTCAGGAGACTTTTAATTATATCAAATTTCACACTATTTCTTCAATATACTAAGGATCTAGGTTATTACAAATTAACTTACTTAAATTATAGCAATAGACCTATTGTTGCCATAATTGTATGTAAATTAACATATGCACCTATACCCGTGGTAGGAAACCTGTAGCTTGCGAGCCACATGTGGCTCTTTGGCCCTTTGAGTGTGGCTCTTCCACAAAATACCATGGCCTGGGTGAGTCTATTTTGAAGAAGTGGCATTAGAAGAAGTTTAAGTTTAAAAAATTTGGCTCTCAAAAGAAATTTTAATCGTTGTATTGTTGATATTTGACTCTGTTGATTAGTGAGTTTGCCGGCCACTAACCTACACCACAAGTATAAATTCACATGTTTTAGAAAAGTAGAAACTGATTTATAACATATCATAAATCCAGTATCATAAATCCTAAGCCAAGAACTATTTTCATATGGTTTAAAACTCTGGCTCTAGAATAAGAAAGATCCAGGTTGGAATCCAAGCTTCCTCATTTACTAGTTAATTATATGACTTTTAACTAGTTACTTAACTTTTCTATAGGCACTACTACTTTATATGACTCTTGTGAGAATTAAATGAGATAATCCATGTGAATAACTCAGCATTGTGCTAGATACCTAGTAAGCATTTCATAAATGTTAGCTTTTAAATTTAATCCATTTGTTTTCTGTGAGTAATAATACCTATCACATTGGAGATTGTCCCATGCAATCAGCAAATTAATATTTATGATACTTATAAACATTTACAATTCAACTAAACTTAACTATCGTTCAAATTTAAAAATCTATTAAACAAAATACATAATGGTGTGTATTAAACAAAAGAGAAAACTTACTGATATGACTTTCTAGGCCAGCTTCTAATTTCTTAAGCCACAACAAAAGGTTTTGCTCAGTTATAGCCTGGTCTGAAGGAAATGCAAATACTTGGCCACCTGAATGCAGATTCACCACAACAAGAACAGGAAGGGGAGGCAGAACTTCAAAATACGCCTGCAAGATTCCTCTCCCCACAGGAGTGTTCTTTCTAAAAAAGAGAGCAATTGAACATGCTAGTTAATATTTATTTCTATAACAAAACAATGAAAATAATAGTTGGTAGAACAATAACCTTTAAATATAGTTTCAAGCCAGTAAGTTTATTTTATGAAAAGATGTCCTAATAACTATGAGGTCTTTAAGCATGTTATTAGTAATCAGAATCAGAAAAGTTTTTTTTAACACAGGGCACTGTGTTTCTCTTAGGAGGGAAAAAAGGCAACCAATGAGAGTTTTAATAAAAAACAGGCACAGTCCAAAGGCTTAACAATTCCGGCTTATCATCAATAAGTTCCTTCCAAGTTTAGCCAAGTATCTGATTACATATCAGTTCAAAAATTAAATGGTTACAAACTACAAAATAACAAGATACTTAAAATATATACTTCTTTGGGGAACAAGAAGAAAAGATTAATTTCAAACTAAAATTATTTTTTAAATTATGTTCACAGAAGGAAACCATAGTTTAAGATAGCTAGTTTTCTTAATACAGCACATTCCACATTATGGAAAATACAGTTTTATAAGTTAAGTACCTGAGATACTTACAAATTAAGTACCTAAAAATTCTATCCCATGCAGTTGGTTGTGCTGTTTGAGAACTCTTCAACAGAAGAAAAAAAAATGTATACTGCCCCATTCTTGTAATTTTCAAATAAGTCAAAAATAAAATGTCTTTCATATGATGAATTTGAAGAATAGTGTGTATATATATGAAATATATAGGTACTTAATGTAACAAAGCCCATATATCTAGAACACATACCAGAAAATACTGTTTGTGAATACACTGAAAATTTTCTATAACATTTAGGCTGCATTTCAAAAATAGAGACGTATAAAAACAGAAACTGAAGGAAAATGCCAAAATACCAGTTTGTTTTTCTGTATTTGCTCAAGGGACATTACTTTTAAAATCAGAAAAATTACTACTTTTAAAAATTCATTGTATGTCAAAAGCAAAAATAAACAAGTGGGACTACAAAGCTTCTGCACAGCAAAGGAAATTAACAAAATGAAATGGCAACTTTCAGAAGAGGAGGAAATAATGGCAAATCATATCTGATAAAGGATCCAAAATAATTGAAGAACTCATAAAACTCAACAATGACAAAAAAAATCCAATTTTAAAATGGGCAGAAGAATTGATTAAACATTTTTGCAAAGAAGACATACAAAGGCCAAAAGGTATGTGAAAAGATGCTCAGCATTACAAGTCACCAGGAAAATGCAAATCAAAACCATGAGCTATTTACCACCTGCCCACCCGTTGGAATGGCTATTATAAAAAAGACTAGAGGCCCGTTGAACGAAGAGACTCGTGCAATAGGCCTTCCTTCCCTCGGCTTCCAACACTGGTTCCTCTGGCACCCGGGACCCCGGCCTTTGCTCTGGCCAGAGTCTGCCATCTTTGTCTTTGCTGCAGGCTCTAGCAGGTTTGTCTTTGCTGCTTCTCTGCAGACTCCAGCCAGAATCTGCTGTCTTCATCTTTGCTGCAGACTCCAGCTGGAGTCTGCCATCTTGGTTTTCACTGCAAACTCTGGAGTCTGCAATCTTATCTTTGCTGCAGCACTCTGCTCCTGTAGATCCCTTCACCCCCAGCCTTCCCTCTCATAGCAGGTGTCCTGCCCTGCCTGGTCACTTTGCACCTGGAACAGCTGAGTGGCTGCCATGTTTGGCCTTCTAATTTGCATACTTACTCTGATTGGCTGTGGGCATAGCAGAGGTATGGACAATTTACATGTTTGTCTATTATTAGGTAAGATAAGAGATTACAAGTGTTGGTGAGGACACAGAGAAAAGGGAGTCCTTGTGCACTGTTGGCAGGAAAGTAAATTGGTGTAATAGCAAACAATATGATGGTTCCTCAAATAATTAAAAACAGAACTAGCTTATGATCCAGCAATCCCAGTTCTGGGTATGATTCCAAAAAAAATAAAAACAGGATGTTAAAGAGATTTCTGCATCCTCATATTCATTGCAGCATTATGAATAAAATGTGCTATGTAACTGTGTGTGTGTGTGTGTGTGTGTGTGTATAAAATCCTAATATGCAAATAGACTAAATGGTGGAACAACTGAACAACCGGTTGCTATGATGTGCGCTGACCGTAAGGGGGCACGCACAAAACATGGCAGGCATTGGCCACTGCAGGATAATGGAGCAGGTGAGTTGAGGCGTCTGATCAAGGTGGGATGCCAGTCACTGTCATTGGAGCGAGCCTCTGGTAGTTACTGAAAATTCTTTGCTCCCATGCACCATAGTCCTGTCTGGTGCTCACACCTGCTGCTGGCACTGGCCCCAATTGCTCAGTGCCAACAGCGGGTGCAAGCCGCAGCAATCACCAGTACCAATCGCCCCTCAGGGCTTCTCCACCTCCCCTGCTCCTGAGGGGCAATCAGAGCCGGCAGCTGCCTCTTGCTCCCACTGCTGGCGCTGGACCCACTTGCACCCACTCTGCTCACACCGTACTTGGCCCCGCTCATACTCTGCTTGCACATGCTGCTGGCACCAGCCCCAATTGCTCTGTGCTATCAGCATCTGTGAGCGGGCCAGTGCCATCAGTACATGAGAGGAGAAGCGGCAGGAGTGGGGCTGCCAGCAGACAGGGGACCGAGGGCCACAGAGGAGGAAAGGGGCTGAGACCCACCCCTATGCCCACCACAGCCTTACAGCCCACAGTTCCTTTCAAGGTGCATGAATTTGTGCACTGGCCCCTAGTGTGTGTGTGTGTGTGTGTGTGTGTGTGTGTGTGTGAATAACACACAGAGAATATTATTCAGCCATGAGAAACAAGGAAATCCTGCCATTTGCAACAACATGGATGGAACTTGAGGGCATTATGCCAAGTGAAATAAGTCAGGCCAAGACAAATACTACACAGTATCACTTACATGAGGAATCTAAAAAAAAAAGTCACACCTCTAAAAATAGAAGAAAAGTGATTGCCAAGGACTGAGAGTTGAGGAAAATAGGGAGAGGTTGGTAAAAGGGTACAAACATTCAGTTGTAATATATCTGAAGCTCTAATGTATAACATGGGGACTCTAACTGATAACACTATATTGTATAAGTGAAATTTGCTAGGAGATTGGAACTTAAATTTGTTCTTACCCCTCCTCCAGTGTGTGTGCGTGTGTGTGTGTGTGTGTGTGTGTGTGTGTGTAAATAGGTGAGGTGAGGGATGTGAGAATTAATTAGATGGAAGAATCTTTTCACAATGCAAATACTATTAATAAAAGAGTAATATGCAAATTGACAGTACCTCTGCTACACTCAAAAGCCATGCCCATGAGCCAATCAGGAGTGGGTATGCAAATTAACCCAACCAAAATGGCTATGGCCACAGAGCAAGCAGGAGGTTTGGGTTTCCCAAGCAATAGAGGAAACCAAGCTTTCTGCACACCCTGGTCAGCCCTGGACTTCACTCAAGGGTACACGGTTTTAATTATAGAAGATAAATATATCCCAACAAAAATGGCTGCGGCCACAGAGTGAGTAGGAGGCTTGGGTTTCCCTGGCAATGGAGGAAGTCAAGGTTTCTGCCTGCCCTGGCCTGCTCTGGCCTACACTCAAGGCTATAAAGTTTCAATTGTATAAGATAAATAAATCCCAGATACCAGGGCCTCCACTTGGGTTGCCAGGGGCCATGGCCAGCCTGAAAACCACCACAAGCCCCTTGCCCAGGCACCCCACACCCCAAGGGAATTCCCAACCTGATTCAGGACACCCTTCAGGGCAAACCAGCAGGCCTCCACCCGTGCACCAGGCCTCTATCCTATTTATTAAAAGATTAATATGCAAATTGACCATCATTCCAACACAATATGGCTGCCCCCATGTGGATACAACATGGCCACCACAAAATGGCCAGCAGGGGAGGGCAGTTGGGAGGGACTAGGCCTGCAGGGAAGGGCAGTTGGGAGGGACCCAGGCCTGCAGGGGAAAGCAGTGAAGGGTGACCAGGCCTACTGGGGAGGACAGTTGGGGGTGACCAGGTCTGCAGGGGAGAGCAGTTAGGGGCAAACAGGCTGGCATGGGAGCAGTTAGGCATCAATCAGGCTGGCAGGGGAATGGTTAGGGGGTGATCAGGTTGGTAGGCAGAAGTGGTTAGGGGCAATCAGGAAGGCAGGAAGGTGAGCAGTTGGGAGCCAACAGTCCTGAATTGTGAGAGGGATGTCCAACTGCCCATTTAGGCCCAATCCTAATGGGTTCGAGCCTAAACGGGAAGTAGGACATCCTTCAAGGTGTCCCAGATTGGAGAGGGTGCAGGTTGGGCTGAGGACACATACCCTACCCCTCGCCATGCATGAATTTCATACACTGGAACTCTAGTATATCATAACATAACTTTAAGCATCTTACAATTTATTTGTCTATTATACCTCAATAAGGCTGGAAAAAAAAAACACAGAGAAAAAAATTATTGTAGTACAGAAGTCAATCTGAAAGAAGGTCATTTTACATCATCTGAGAGAGTTTAGTTATTAAAATATCATGATGACATGTACATTGGTCCCAAAATATTAACTCCAAAGGTAGAGTTTAGAGAGTTTCATTTCCTAACGAAAATATAATTACACTTTCTTTACCTTTTACATATTATATATATATGTGTGTGTGTGTGTGTGTGTGTGTGTGTGTGTGTGTGTGTGTATAAAAATCAATATACTATTGATTTTTTTACAGAAAGGAAGAGGGAGTGATAGAGAGTTAGAAACATCGATGAGAGAGAATCATCGATCAGCTGCCTTTTGCACACTCCCTACTGGGGATGTGCCCGCAACCAAGGTACATGCCCTTGACCGAAATCGAACCTGAGACCTTTCAGTCCGCAGACCGATGCTCTATACATTGAGCCAAACCGGTTTTGGCTACTTTTTACATATTAAAAGTTAAAAATATACTTACAAATTTAACCAGCAAGGAATAACTGAATCCAGGTGTTTCTCTTTTGCCAGTGTCAACATTGCCTTTTGATACTGAGGGTTTATGATGCCATCACTGAATAAAATAAGTAATGGTTTCTGAAGCCTTATATAGGTGGGAAGGTTTTCCACAGTGACTTCCGGCTATTAAAAAGACAACAACAAGATGAATGATGATGCATAAAATAAAAAATACTGTTCAAATTGTTCCTGCAGTTTTAGTTTATAAAATGTAATTCAAGCATATTACCATTTAAGTGATTCGCTATACTAATAACTAGAAATCTCAGGAATGCTTTTAAAGCCAATTTTATCTTAATAAAGTTATTTTAAAAATAAAACTACTACAGAATTTGAAAATAAATTAACTTAAAGGAGCATCCTGTTTTACACATCCAATTATTTCTTATGCTAAAATCTAGATGGAGTAGACAATGTACTCATGACAAACAAAACTTGTATTATAATTTTATCGAACACAAAATTTTTGAAAAAACTATCAATCTGAATTTTAAAGAAATACACTGAGTGGCCAGATTATTATGACCACCCCATGAGTACTTCAATACTGCATCAATTCTTCTTGGCAATGACTCCACAAAATGTTGAAAGGTGATACGAAGAATCTGACACCATGCCTAATGAACAGCCCTGTCCAGTTCTGAGGCTTGATGGTTGTGAAACCAGCTGCCTGATGGCTCTTTTAACTTTGTCCCACAAATCCTCAATTGGATTGAGATCTGGTGATTGTGGGGGCCACCTAAGCAAGGTAAAGTCTCCCTCATGTTCTTGAAACCACTCCTGCACAATAGGAGCACCTATTGTGGCATGGTGCATTGTCTTGTTGGAAGAAGCCATCTCCATTGTTGGGATACGCAATTAACATGATAGGATGATCAGCAACAATAGGTATGTTGTGCTGTTCAGACGTTGTTGTTCCACATGAATAAAAGGGCCTAAAATCATGCCAGGAAAACATGTTCCAAACCATAACACTGCCCCCACCAGCTTGAAGAATTGTACTCATGCATGTGGGATGCATGCTTTCATGCTGTTTCCGTCATATTCTCATTCTACCATCTGCATGATGCAACTGGAAATGTGATTCATCGGAACACATGACTTTTTTCCAATGCTCAACTGTCTAATCCTTGTGTTCCTGTGTGAATTAGAGACGTTTTATCTTGGTAATGCAGACAGCAAAGGTGTTCAAACAGGCCTTCGGCTTCCATATTCCATACCATGCAGTTTACAGCTAATTTGCCTAAAAAAGTCAGGTGGTCATAATAATCTGGCCACTCAGTATAATATTTTGACATTTATGATTATTTAAAATAAAAATCTTACTGTGTTTTTCAATATTATGGAATTTTAGCATAATTAAAATAATTTTAAAAAGCTGTACATTTACATAATGGAATACTACTCTGCTATAAAAAAGAAGAAAACCTTAGCTCTGCAGCAGCATCGATGGACCTAGAAAGCATTATTTTAAGTGAAATAAGCCAGTCAGAAAGATAAGTACCATATGATTTCACTCATACATGAAATATAATAAACAAACTGAACTAACAAACAAAATAGAAACAAACTCATAGATAGAGAGCAGGCAGACAGCTCAGGAGAAGGATGGGGAGGTGGGGGGGAATTTACGTTCATGAATAAAATTTCCCAAATAAGAACATAACAAAAGAAGAAAAAAGCATTGAGGATGTAATTGTAGAATGGCCAGAGGGTTGAAGGAGTATCTGGAGAGGATTGAATTGTAAAAACCAAAGGAAAAGAATAAATTTTTTTCAAAGGAACGGCATAGTTAACACTTTTATATTTTTCCCCACCCCTCTCTACCCTTCCTCCCCTCTCTATTTTATACAAAGTTTTGATTGCTACTGAGAAGCTAAGGAGAACAGAAAAGGTCATCAAATGTGGTCGTTGGAAGGGTACCTTTACTCACCTGAGTAAGAGGCTATAATTGTGTGGGTTCTAGTATTCTTTTTTTTTTTAATATATATTTTATTGATTTTTTACAGAGAGGAAGGGAGAGAGCTAGTTAGAAACATTGATGAGAGAGAAACATCGATCGGCTGCCTCCTGTACACTCCCTACTGGGGTCATGCCCACAACCAAGGTACATGCCCGTGTCCGGAATTGAACCTGGGACCCTTGAATCCACAGGCCGACGCTCTATCCACTGAGCCAAACCAGTTTCAGCGGTTCTGGTATTCTTATTCATAGTAAAAGCATAAAAAGAACGTAAGATATCTAAGTGTGATAGTGTGGGATATGTCATTGCTTATATAATTATAGTGTATTTCATTTGGGGGCATTATTTACCAAGGCTACTTTGTCATCAGGTTCATTAAAATAAAAAAATGATGCCGCATTAAAAATATTTACCATCTGTTCATCCACTCCTCTTTCCTACCCAGATGAAGAAACCAAAGTCTGTCTAGTACTTAAGGGCAGACCAGGAGAGGAGATTGCTGCTCTAGACATTACATGCTCTAGACTTAAACCTCCAACGTGGAGCAACTTTAGGAAATTTAATAACCACTTGAGAGTGTTTTCATTTACGGTAACGCCACAAACTAAAAGCAAAATAATTTTTATTACAGCTGTTCAGTATCAAGAACACCGCAAACCAAAACATTGCAAACTTGAACAACGCCACAATGCTTATCATGTTTGCGTAAACTAGAAACAGATTTTAATAGTTAAGTTTGTCCTAAGTTTCTCAGCCATAAAGATTATAATCTTAATGAATAAAATTGATATTAATTTTTACCTATCAGTTAGGCAAAAAAAGGTAAAATGATACAAATCGCCTGTTGGGCAAAACAAGAGTATCAGAAGCCTTAAAATGTGTCTACCCTTTGAAACAGCAACTGAAACTCTATGAATTTACCATAAGAATATATCATGAGCCAAAGCTGGTTTGGCTCAGTGGATAGAGCGTCGGTCTGTGGACTGAAGGGTCCCAGGTTCGATTCAGGTCAAGGGCATGTACATTGGTTGTGGGCACATCCCTGGTGGGGGGTGTGCAGGAGGCAGCTGGTCGATGTGTCTCTCTCCTCGATGTTTCTAGCTCTCTATCCCTCTCTCTTCCTCTCTGTAAAAAATCAATAAAATATATATATATTTTTTAAAAGAATATATCATGAAAACATGGAAAAATTATCTATAAAGATGGTCCCTGAGTAAAACAAAGACAACTTAAATATACATCTATAGAAAACTAAAATAAATTGTATTCTAGTACAACAGAATATTGTGCAGATATTAAAAAAAAACAAATATGCCTATCTTTATTTCTTGATGAAACACATGGAAATTTTTTAAACTTTGGATAATGTAACACCAAATTTAAATTTGTTTAGAAGTTGATTCTAAATTTCTTCATCATAGTTTTCTGTATTATCTGGAAAAAAAAGTTAAAGGCTTGTAATAATTCCAACAATATTACACTACATATTTGTCAAAGAAATATATAGCCCGCTGGTGTCGCTCAGCGGTTGAGCATTGACCCATGAACCAGAAAGTCACAGTTTGATTCTCGGTCGGGGCACATGCCTGGGTTGCAGGCTGGATCCAAAGTAGGGGGCTTACAGGAGGCACAGATCAATAATTCTCTCTCATAATTAATGATTCTATTCCTCTCTCCATCTCCCTTCCTCTCTCTGAAATCAATCAGAACATATTTTGAAAAAAAAGAAATGGGTGTTTCCATATCTCTGGTAGAAAATGTGCAAGATGACTGCAACATGTTATCATTAAAGACAAAATTATTACTTGAGTTAGAAAACCACATCCTGAAAAATATTAATAATTTGATTAATTATAACCTGTAAGTTTAATTTGGAGAGAGTGGTGAGGGAACAGAACCAATGTGACAAAAAGATTTAATAATTAAAACTATGGTCATTTATTTGTAAAATGTAGTCATTCAGATTATCACAACAACATAAAAACAAGATATATGTTCAGTATTTATAGCTGATAAAAGTGCTCCTTATGTCACTTTATAGAAAAGCATACATTTATAATAATTTAGCTATGTTTAATATAAAAGAAAAACAACTGAAATCAAGAAATGCATATTACATATTTTGTGTCCCTGAATTCACTATTATACAAAGCATTGAAAAAGGCCTTTCATAAGTCAATATTTGTTCTAACTGTATAAAGAATAAAAATACTAGCTAATGCTGGCCGGTATGGCTCAGTTGGTTGGAGCATTGTCCTGTACACCAAAAGGTGGTGGGTTCAACTCCTGGTCAGAGCTCAAACCCAGGTTGTAGGTTCAATCCTCAATCGGGTGCATATGGGAGGCAGCCAATCCATGTTTCTCACATCATCATGTGTGTGTGTGTCTCTCTCTCTCTCTCTCTCTCCCTCTCCCCCTCCTCCTCCCCTCTCTCTCTCTTCCCCCCCTCCTCCCTCTCTGGAATTAAAAAAAAAATCAGCTAACATTTGTTGAATGTTTACCAGGGGCCAAACACTGAACACAAATAATCTCATTTAGTCTTTACAGTAATGCTCGGCAGTTGCTACTATCACCTACATTTTACACTGAGACACTGTAAGTAATCAAGCCAAGGATCTAAAGCTGAGCAATCTGATTCTCCAGAACCCATGTGGTTTATACCATGTTTCAGCCTAGATTAAGTACTTCAACTGGCTATCAGCCACACTGGCCTCAGAAATAAAAATAATCCAAAGACGTGGAAACTTTTGGCAGTGGACTAGAGAAGCTTCATGCATAATGAGTGAACAATAAAACAGCAATCCAACGAATCCTCAGTCACAAACACCATGCCATATGCCAATAAGAGCTGTGGAAAACCACATATTAAAATAAACTACCTTTAACTCATCTAGATATCCCTATTTCAAATAACATCCTTATTATAAAATATACTCACAAATGTTTCCAGTAATGCATTTGTTATTATTTGAACTATATCTTGAGCATGGGTGTTAGCTAATGGAATGCTCTCTACTTGTCTTTCTTTGTGTCTGGCAAGCAGCAGGGCTGGAAGAGTTGCAGTATATTTATTTGACCTACGGAGAAACACATATTTAAAAATTTCAACGAAATAATAGCAAGTCATCAAAAACATAAACAATGAGGCCAAGGAGTCACAGTGGAAAGCAGCAAATGGGAAGCCCTAATACCAAGGAAATAATAACTCAATTTACAGACAAATTTATCTTCGGTAGCCTTGACGACCAGGATTGAAAGAAAGCAACAGATAATAATCTACCCAGATTTTTTTTTTCCTAGAGAACGTATTCATCAAGAAAATGTCTAAACAGGATTAGGAACACATTGAATAGCTCTCAAACTTTCTGGACTGCTCGCCAGACTGCTGAGCAAGGAGATGGGCATTTATTAGAAATCTACTATGTGCAGGCACTACACCAGGTGCTTTTAGTTAAGTTTTCATTTAACCCTCAGAACAGCCCTATAAAACAGCCACCATTAGCCCCAGCTCCAGAAGAGGAAACCAGTACTCGAGGGTGATAGATAGCAGAGGGAGAATTCAAACCGAGGTTCTCCAGACGCGGTCTGTGCTTTCTCCACTGCAACAGCCCAATCTGCTCCCTCCTGCCACAACTTTTGCTAAGTAAATCACTAAATTAAATATGAAAAAAATGCTTTGTGTGAAATTACCAGTGATATAGTCACATCTATATCATGTAAAATACTCCTGTTAGAACAAAATACCAGGTATAACTCAATTAAAACTCTGGGAGAAATCTGGAAAAACTTTGATTTTTATATATATGTGGCAAATCAAAACCAAAACACTCAAGAAGTAAAATCTCTCCCCCTCCCCCTCCCCACCCCTTTCCCGCAAAATGCAACAATTCCAAAAATTAAAACTGCAGGTAATAGCCTGGCTGGTGTGGTTCAGTTGTTGAGCACTGGCCCAGGAACCAAGTCACTGGTCAGGGCACATGCCCTGATTGTGCACTTGATCCCCAATAGGGGGTGTGCAGGAGGCAGCCAATCAATGATTCTTTTTCATCATTGATGTTACTATTTCACTCTCCTCCCTTCCTCTCTGAACTCAATAAATAAATATATATATATTTGTTAAATGTATGCATTTAAAAAATAAATTAAATAAACATATATATTTTTAAAAAACTACAGAACCCAAAGAGAACAATTTTTTAAAGAAGATAAAGTCATATGAATCCAAGGTTGCTCCTCTGGGGGTACTATGTAAAAGAATATCTAAAAATCCTAAATAGCCACATGGTACTTTCCAGATCTTCATAGAAGAAAATTAAAACTTTTTTAATTTTCTGTGTCTGCCCTATCTTTTTGCTCAACTATGTAAAGACAAGCAATATATTATTTTGCAAACTTCTTCCTTCCTAAAATTAGAAGACCAATAAACTTACAATATCAAAACATCTTCTTCAGAATAAATTCCAGTGATAACATATCCTTTTAGATACTTTCCAGCTTCAGTGAAATCTTCTTGTGCTAAAAATACACAGACAAGACCGAAAAAAAGAAATCTTTAAAATTATGTGTGCTACTCAACTGGTGAAGAGATTTATAGAGAGTACTTTGTTATTAATTAATTACAATAAACATTTAAGTGTAAATCTTATATAACGTAATAGTTTTAAAATAAATCTGTGTCTTTTGATATTTGATTATGACAGAAATGTAAATTGATGTAATACAATATGGTTCCCTAAACAAATGTACTCTAAATTTGAAAGATTTACAGCACTCTAATCATACACATTTATTGAATAAATATTTGTTGCTTTTTAAAATTTACTTCTAAGGCGGGATAAATGGAGACAACTTTCTTATATGGAGCTTGGAAAGAGAAATTGGTATGTGGAATGATATACACATTATAATCACAAAACCTAAAAGCAATATACATAGGCAAGAACAGAAGGCTGGAAATTCTAGTTCTCTAGAATGTCTGTGTTAGGGTTCTGCAATTAGGAGGGATTTATGTATTTTTTATTTTCTATAACCTGTTTTTGTTACTTTTGAACTTTGATTAATTTGTGTAACTGTTTTTTCTCATTTGTTAGAATAGATATTCAAAATTAAAATATTATGTCTATAGATTTCTGAGTACATTTGCATAAATAATAGCATGTTCTGGATTGTGCTAATAATCAAATAAAAAAGCAAGTCTGAGTTAAGTATTTACAGACTAATGAGAATAGAGCAGAGGTGAACTGATATAAATGACCTATTCTTGCCACATGGAGGCTAAATGATAGCCCAGCTTGCTGCATGAAAGTATCATAGTTCAAACACAAAAACAACGATGCAAGATTTGAGTCATAAAGCACCTAGCTGTCTGGGTATGCTGAACCCAAAAGATCTGTACCTTAGCATACAGCACTATGCTCAGGGTGCGAGAATCAACACTGTTAACACTTCAACAGATTATTTTCTTTAAAAACAGATACATATTTTCCACAAGATTATAGGAAAGCAAACTTACTAGAATGGCCCAGTCAACCAATTGGCAGCATTGAGAGCTCGTTTATAATCATGATTCTAATAAGAAACTAGTAATCCATGAAAATATATTTTTTTAGCCTGTGCTACACCCAAGTAGAAAAGATTCATAAGAAAACTAAGCTAGTAACTAGCATTTTTCTCGCGTTGGTGAAAACTGCACATATGTCAGATATATGGCAACCCCAAATATAAGGAAAATTTTAACCACTATTAATATATTAGAAATGTAATACTATGGTGACTTACAATATTTAGGTGTTAACTATAAACATTTTAATTGCATAAAATAGATACATTAATTTAGTAATACCATTTTTTTCCACTGTTACATTTTGCTAAAGTTTTATTTACACACACAAATATATACATATATAAATATGCATATATACCCTGTCAGCAAGAGTTGTGACACTCCATTAACTAAAAGCACTCCTAACCCCTAGATCTTAGTTTCTAAGTCCAATGTCCCACTAAAAGGAACCTGGACTCGTTGGAGAAATGGCTAATTCCAGGAGTGGGGCTGGAACATCATGTGCCAAAAGGACATATTTAAAGAATAACGAACACGTCAGAAAGACATAGGAGTCAGACTGAAGGGGGTCCCACTGACCAAACTTGAGCACCTAATGACAGTAACTGATCATAACCCACTGAATAAAAAAAGAACTCAGGGGACCACTCTGATAAACGGACGATTGAGAAAGAAAAGCTCTTACAGCTAATAAATATAAAAAAGAATAATGAAGTTAGAACTTTTCCACTTGGCAACCATCATGGTAATAACTCTTTCAATTCTAAAACTGAAGTGTAAAATTATGAGAAATGGGCCATTTACAAAGTTTTTAATTATATCCCCCATCAGATACTTATTTACTACAAATTAAAAATAGTAACTTTCCAGGAAAGGGACCTGGCATATACACCTGTGGACAAAAGGGAAATTTTAGCTCTCATGGATTCACATTTTAGTGTTCAAATGATCGGAATCTATATAAACAACAAATTAATATGAAATTAAACAACAAATTAAAAGAGAAAGACAAAGGAGTAAAACACAGACTCATTCACATCACTATTTTTCATAAAGGAAACACAAATTAAAGAGCTATGCCCTCACCCTAGCTGGTTTGGCTCAGTGGATAGAGTGTCAACCTGCAGACTGAAGGGTCCCTGGTTCAATTCTGGCCAAGGGGACATGCCTGGATTGTAGGCCCAACCCCCAGGAGGGGGTGTGCAGGAGGCAGTGATCAATGATTCTCTCTCATAATTGACGTTTCTATCTTTCTCTTCCTCTCTGAAATAAAAGTAGATTTTAAAAAAAGCTATGCCCTCTAGCATTTTGCTTCTAAGCTGTTAGGCCCAGAGCACACATTCTTATTATTCCTTTGTAGTAAGTTTTTCAGTTTTTGATTTAAAAGAATTTGAAGACAGCCTGGTCTGCATGGCTCAGTGAATTGAGTATCGTCCCATACACTAAAAATTTGCTGGTTCAATTCCCTGTCAGGGCATATGCCTATTTTGTGGCTCAATCCTAGTAAGAAGTATGCAGGAGGCAGCCTATCAATTTTTCTCTCTCATCATTGATGTTTCTATCTTCTCTGGCAGTAAAGCATCAAACAGACTGTCAAATTACAGCGGGAAGGTTGGGGAAAGAGGGGGAGATAAGAGATTAACCGAAGGACTTGCATGCATACATATAAGCATAACCAATGGACACAAGACACTGGGGAGTGAGGGCATGCATGGGAGTGGGGTAGGGGAGAAATGGAAACATGTAATACCTTAATCAATAAAAAATACCCCCCCAGCCGAAACCGGTTTGGCTCAGTGGTAGAGAGTCGGTGTGCGGACTGGGGGGTCCCGGGTTTGATTCCAGTCAGGGTATGTGCATTGGTTGCGGGTGCATCCCCGGTGGGTGGTGTGCAGGAGGCAGCTGGTCGATGTTTCTCTCTCATTGATGTTTCTGTCTCTCTCTCCCTTCCTCCTTTCTATAAAATACCAATAAAATATATTTAATTAAAAAAAAATATCCCCCCTAAAAAAGAAAAAAAGTGATAACAAAAGTAAAAGAAGAAAATTATCTTAAAAAAGTATTGTTCTTACATTTTTATATTTTCTTATTTTATAATAAACTTATTGCAAACATTAAAAAAAAAAAACACACACCGAAAATAACAAGTGTTGGATAGTTCTTCAAAAAATTAAAAATCGTATTACATTATGAACCAGAAATTTCACTTATAGTATATATTCAAAAGAATCGAAAGCAGGAAGAGATATTTGTGCACTTATTTTAGAGCTGCATTATCGATAATGGCCAAAAGGTAGAAACAACCAAGTGTCTACTGATAAATGAATAAATAAATATACATACTAGAGGCCCAATGCACAAAATTCATGCAAGGGGGTTGGCCCTCGAAGACCCTTGCAGCCTCAGCTAATCTTTGCAGCCCCAGCTGCTTTGGCTAGCCCTTGCAGCCCTGGCTTCATCCAGACAGTTGTTCTGCTGTTTGGTCTAATTAGCAGTATTAGCTCTTTATAATATAGGACTAGAAGCCTGGTGCACGAAAATTCATGCACTCGAGGGGAGGAGGGGTCTCTCAGCCTGACCTGCCACCCTCTTGCAGTCCGGAACCCCTTGGGGGATGTCTATTTGCCCTTAGGAGATCAGGCCTAAGTTGGCAGTCAGACATCCCTCTGGTAGCCCAGGAGCCCCTGGGGAATATCCAACTAACGGCTTAGGCCTGCTTATGGTAGTTGGACATCCTTAGCACTTCCGAGGAGGCAGGAGAGGCTTCCACCACTGCTGCTGCACTTTCAGCCATCAGCTGGGCTTGTGGCTGAATGGAGCTCCCTTGCGTGAGTGCACTGACCACCAGGGGGCAGCTCCTGTGTTGAGCATCTGCCCCCTGGTAGTCAGGGCACATCATAGAGACTGATTATTCCGGGTCATTGTGCTGTTAGGGTCAATATGCCTATTACCCTTTTATTATATATCCTAAAAGAAAGGAAAAGCTAATACATGTTACAACAGATAAACTTTGAGGACATCATACTAAGTGAATTAAACCAGTCAGAAAAAAAAAGTGTATGATTCCATGTATATGAGGTACCTAGAACAGTCAAATTCATAGAGACAGAAAGTAGAATGGTAGGTAGTTGCCAGGAGTTGGGGAAAATGCAGAGTTGTTTAGCAGGTACGGTTTCAGTTTTGCAAGATGAAAAATGTTCTGGAGATTAGTTGCAAAATATAATTAACACTAGCTATCTACACACTTAAAAATGGTTAAAATGTGTATTTCATCACAATTTTTAATAAGAAAAATATTCAAAGCACAAAGATAATATAAATCAAAGTAGGAAAGTCTAAATAAAGCCAGAAGAAAATACAGGTGAATATTAACTGATAATGATAATAGGGGATTTCAATAGCTAAAAGCAATGGAAGAAATCTCAAAATCGATAAATCTAAAAACAATTTTATATTACTACAAATAAAATTATTATTAAGCAAAGTCAAAATGCAAACAATAAACTGGGGAATAATAACTGAACAAAATGACCAAAGATTAATATCCTTACTACATAAAAATCTCACAGTAATTCATTAGAGGAGCAATAAAACCCCATTTTTAAAAATAAGTAGCATATACATTTTACAGAAGACAAAGTTATTCCCATACTGGGGATCTATACCCACTGAACAGCCTAAAATCTACACAAAAACTCATTTTAAAAAATCCTTTATAAACAGCAAAAATAAAAAAGGATACAACAAATATTATTGCTAGACAGTTCAAATATTATACAGCCATGATGTTTCTGAAGAATATTACTCACCTGGAAAAATTCACACAAGAAATATTAAACAAAAAATAGTAAGAATCAATTAAGACATATAGAAATATGCAATAAAGAGGTACATAGAAAAAGAGGGGGAAGAAATTACATTAAAATTAGCAACTCCAAATAATTATAGATTTTAATTTTCTTCAAACTTCTCTGTATTTCAAAATCCTCTATAATTTAGGTTCTCTATAATTTAAAAAGATAGCAATTCTTTAAAAAAAAAAAAAAAAAAAAAAAACAACTAGTAAATGAGTACTTAACTAAGTATTGTATAATTTAAAATTCAATTCTACTTACCTGTTGACATGGTTGGACTAAATAGTCCCAGTACTGACACACCAGAATAGAAGATTAGGTCTTTATATAATTCCCCACTTAAATATTCTTCTGCTTCTTGGATAGATGTTATGTTAACTGGACATGAAATCCTGTTGCTAGATGAATATAGATATACATACAAAATTAATTTTTAAAAATACTTTTCACCAGCTATGGAAAGCAGTCATGCGATTCCTCAAAAAACTAAGAATAGAGCTACCATACAATCCACCAATCCCTCTCCTGAGTATGTACCTGAAAAACTTGAAATCGTGTTTCACAAAGATATATGCACCCCTATGTTCACTGCAGCATTATTAACGGTGGCAAGACATGGCAACAACCAAAGTGTCCCATGATAGAAGACTGGATAAAGAAGATGTGGTACACTGTACACAACGGAATACTACTCAGCCATAAGCAAGGATGAAATAGTGCCATTTGCAACAACATGGATGGACCTTGAGAACATTATGCTAAGTGAAATAAGTCAGAAAAAGCTAAGTTTTCACTCATATGTGAGGTATAAAACTAAAACCCATGAACACAAACAGCAGTGTGGTGGTTGCCAGAGGGAAGGGGGTGAGGGAGAAGGGGTCCTAATATAAGGTGACAGAAGAAGATCTGACTTTGGGTGGTGGATATTCAGTGCAACATTCAGATCTTGTAACCCAGAAACCTACCTATGAAACCTATATATTCATGTCGAATATATAGGTTTCATATGTCACCCCAATCAATTTAATAAGTGAAATTTAAAAAAAATACTTTTCAGCTTGTAAAAAAATAAAAATACTGACCTTAGAAAAGACTACATGCCACAGGATAAACATCTGACTAAATAAAGAAAAATACTATTCTAAACAAACAAACAAAAATCTCTCTCATTCAACAAAATTTATATCTCCCCAAAAGTGACGGTATGTGCATGAGCTCTACTCATCAATGCTCCGCCTGTGATTTCCATTCTAGTATCCATCTTAATCCATTCAGAGTATGTCAACAACATGTATAATTAAAAGTTTTATAGACCTAAACGTTGACAAATCGTAGGGTGAAGCTGCATACTTACAGCTGGATAAATTTTAGGAGATCTTCAGTTCCTAACATACCACTGTAAGATACTGGGTTCTCGCCTTCCTTGTACATCTTTACAACAGGAAATTCAGTAACGTTTTGCTTCGTACATACATCAGGCCAGTCTGCACAGTTTATTCTAGTAAGCAGCATAGCGGGTGTGCCTAAGCAGAAAAAAAATGAATGTTTTATAAATATTAATGTAGAAAACTCAGTTAAAAATTGTCAATATTTTCACATACCATTCTTATTTTAAACTCTCAGCAGTACCAAACACTGCTGTGGAATGCTCTCTCTCTCCCCTTGATTCTTTGCAACACCTTCCCCTATTGGCTCATTTGCCACCTCTCTTGCTGTTCCTTTTTGTTCTTTTGGCAGGTTCTCTGCCAGTAAGATGGGCGTTCCTCAAGGCTCAATTTATGCTGCCCTCGTTCTAGACAATCTCAAAAACCATTGCCAATGAATCTTAAATTTATATCTGTGGTGCAGGCTTCTTCTGAAAGTTTCAGACCCATATATCCTTACTGTCTGAAATATTTCTGTTTGAGTGAAAACATCCTCAAACTCAGTACCTATGACTAAAATCAAATACGGTTTCCTTCCTGTTTGTATTGGTGAACATTGTCATTCTTGTACAACTCAAAAAACAAAGTAACATTTTTCTCGCCTGACCATTCCTAGTTCCCCCATGGCTAATCAAATCAATCAACACAGCCTTTCAATTTTACCACTGACATTTGAAATATTATCTCTTCTATCCATTTCTCTTTGCTACCAGTACTCCAATCATTATTTCTCCTTGGATAGCTTCAGTACACTTCTAATTCATGTATCTTTACACTGAATTCAGTATAGCTTTACACTGAAACTAGAAGTGTCTTTTCAAAATTCAAATCTTTTTTACTGGCCTAACCAGTTTGGCTCAGTTGATAGAGCATCAGCCTGTGGACTGAAGGGTCCCAGATTTGATTCGGGTCAAGGGCATGTACCTTGGTTGCAGGCACATCCCCAATAGGGGACGTGCGGAGGCAGTTGATTGATGTTTCTCTCTCACCAATTTCTAACTCTCTATCCCTCTCCCTTCCACTCTGTAAAAAAATCAATAAAATATATTTTTTAAATCTTTTTTGCTAACAGCCCACCCCACCAATTTTAATGACTGGTCTTTGTCACCCCTTCATATTTATGCATGTATGACTAGACACTCTGATCTACATCAAGTTCCTATGTACTGATAGAACCATGCTCCTTTATCTTATTACTAGAGGCATGGTGCATGAAATTCATGCACTGGGGGGCAGGAAGGGGCCCTCAGCCTGGCCTGCACTCTCTCGCAGTCCAGGACCCCTCACTCCTTACAGCTTGGCTCGCTGCTCCTTAGCGAGCCACAAAGACGGGAGAGGCTCCTGCCACCACCGCTGCGCTAAACCATGAGCCCAGCTTCTGGCTGAGTGGCACCCCCTGTGGGAGCGCTTTGACTACAAGGGGGTAGCTCCTGCATTATCTGCCCCCCCTGGTGGTTAGTGCGCATCATAGTGACTGGTCATTCCACCATAACAGCTGCTTCCGCTTGTATTATATAGATGTAATTACATGCTCATTTGTGTAGTTACTTGATGAATGTCTGTTTCTACCAAGAGAGCTCCCTGAGGAAACGGCTGTGTCTATTTTACTCATCATTGACTTTCCAGTCCTTGTGCACAAAACACCTTAAATATGTGTGTAAATGACACACAAGAAACTTATCCAAGGCTTCAGGTACCCATCCTGTCTAAATGTTAGAATTTTTTAGCCTAAAAAAACACCTAATGGAATCCAGAAGAGAAATTCCCACTTGTTCTATAATAATATATGTAAAGCCGGGACCGGTTTGGCTCAATGGATAGAGCGTCGGCTTGGGGACTGAAGGGCCCCGGGTTCGATTCTGGTCAAGGGCATGTACCTTGGTTGCGGGTATATCCCCAGTAGGGGGTGTGCAAGAGGCAGCTGATCGATGACTTTCTCTCACTGATGTTTCTAACTCTCTATCTCCCTTCTTCTCTGTACAAAAATCAATAAAATATATTAAAAATAATAATATGTAAAGTTCTTCAAAATATGTAAATCACTAGGTAGAAAGAGATCAAAATACAAATAAAACAGGCACCACACAATTCAGCTATGAAAGGAATGAGTAAATTCTAACAAAAGGAAACTTTAATATATTATATTAAAGGACTCCTGGTATAACAATTAAAACTGTGAATATAATACTTTAGTATTTTATCACCAAAAGTTTTTAATACTGAAAATTCATTTTTTTTAATATATTTTATTCATTTTTTACAGAGAGGAGGAGAGAGGGATAGACAGCTGGAAACGTCAATGAGAGAGAAACATCGACCAGCTGCCTCTTGCACACCCCCCATCGGGGATGCGCCCGCAACCAATGTACATGCCCTTGACTGGAATCGAACCCGGGACCTTTCAGTCCGCAGACCGACGCTCTACCACTGAGCCAAACCGGTTTGGGCTGAAAATTCACTCTTATATTTTAAATGATTCTAGGTTATACAACATAGATGTGATAATTTATCACTAGATAACACTTTTTAGCAATTTGTTTGATAATACTGGCAGGATGCAATCTATTTTATTCAACACTACATTCCTCTGCCTGCCTAGTACAATGTTGTTATATAGTATGTACCTTATAAAAATTTATGGAATGTAACTTACATTTCTTTATGAACAAATTTTAAATTTTAAAATATATTAAAATATATTAACACCTGAATACTATATGACCATATAAACAAAGATAAATCCTATTCCTTCTAAAACCAGATCTACTGACTTCTCTACAAAGTTCTCTTATCCTTTATTATAATTACCTTAGATATAAAAGGCTAATATGCAAAGAGTCCCCATGGGAGTTCCACTGGGAGACTGGGAGCTTTATCACTTGCTATGACATGTGCTGACCACCAGGGGATGGCGTGGAACGAAGGAAGGCCCTGATAGAGCCTGATACCTGGCCAGGTGTAGGGACCCTACCCATGCATGAATTTCATACACCGGGACTCTAGTATCATATATTGGCACCCAAGTATGGGATATAGTGCCGTTACAAATGCAGTTCTTTCCCTTCAATATACATCCTCAACAAATCTACCACCACTAAGAATGCTATTGTCCCTGCAGCCCAAGTTGAAAATTTTGGTGTTATCTTTAACACTGAAAAAGGAATACTGATCATATCATTAAACACTGTAAAGCTACCTATGTTAAAGTTGCCAATTTAAAATTTTCCTTCTTATAAAATGGTTTCAATATTTAATCATATTTTAATTGGAATAATCTAATATTCTAAGATGCCTGCAGTATTATAGCCCATATACTTTATCAATACAGTAATTTCAAATAGAGTTCTTAATTTAAAGGAAGGGGAAAAAACAGATTCTCTTAGCTACAGATGCTATGTAAGTGTAAACACCTGACACTTGCTGCCACCTTGTGACTGAGTATAAAATAATCTTCATTGTCTTGGATTAAGAGATGAAAGTGACTTTTCCCCAAGTAGTTAATGTGAAAGTTTGCAGAACTAAATGCCCAAAGTATTATAATATTTTCCTAGTTTAAAAAGTTACAGTTGAGGCTTCAACAGAGATGCAAAACACTATAGTTACCTACACTAATGTATTTCTACATTAAGCCCCTAAAAGTTCATTTATCTGATCATATCATTTTTTTTAGAACAAACTAAATGTAAAAGGTAATCAAGTCCTGGGCTGGTAATCTGATTTTTTATTCTATAATCACATACAGCTCAGAGTCCTTGCATTGAGGGGTCAAGTAGTCTATTTAGTCATGACAGAGAAGAAAGTAAGGGAATCTGTCCATGTTCATTTGTTATCTAGTCAAATGGGCTCAGGAGATAATTCTATTATTCAGGAACATTACCCAATTGCTATTTTATTATGGTTTATATTTCACTACCCTCCTTTTCCTTTCTTGTAATAAATTCCCAATAAGGCTAAAGTACCTTAAAAAAGGAAACTTAAAATCTGCCCACATAATGCAGCTACAAAGGATAACCTAAAAGAGAATAAGAGGATTTACTTTATTTAAAAGATCAGTAATCAAAGTAACTACAGACTTAATCACCTCTTCACTTGGGTAATGAAATAATCAAAAGTAGAATCAACTGTGTTTGGGAAATGAATGATTAAAAAAATGGTTCAGAAATGTTTTTTAAAATCTCTGATGTTTTTATTGCTACAGAACATGCTCTAATTAGAGCTGACTTTCTGGAATCGATTTCTTGAGTTCACAAAGTCCCCACTATATAAATAAGTTGTACACACTTTTCACTAAATGAAACAAAGTTCATGAAACTCTACTATATTAGGTTAACCATTTATTCAGCAATTACTAAAACCAGGTATTCTGGCCCCATGACTCAATTGGTTGCAGCATCTTCTGTACACATAAGGCTGTGGGTTCGATTCCCAGTCAGGGCACATATCTAGGTGCAGATTTGATCCTGGCCAGGGCACATATAGGACAAAACCAATCAATGTTTCTCTCACATTAATGTCTCTCTCTCTCCACCACCACTACTCTCCTCCCTACACACCCCCCCCCCCCCGCTTCCTCTCTCTCTAAAACCAATGAAAAGATGTTTTCAGGTGAGGATTTTTAAAAAAAACAAAACACCCAGATATTCTGCAATGCAAGGTAATATGCTAAGTACAGTGAGCTCAGTAAAAGGCTCACTAATTGCCCATAGGAACTTACTAAATAATGAAATAGCATGTAATCTAGTTTTCCCCAAAACTAAATTGTGGGTACATTCCTACAGTAGTCAAGAATAAACTTACAACTAAAATAGCTTCTATTTATAAGAAAAACAGTAGGAGAAAGTCATATTATAGATAGGAAGCATGAAGCATTCTAACTTATTCAAATGATAGCAAAACATTATCCTAATCCTCTTTCTTTCTCTCTCCCTCCCTTTCCTTCTAACAGATTGTGGCATAGGCATTTTGAGTTAAAGTCCATTCCTTGGATTCTTATTTTCCTGCAACTGGATCAAGTTTCATAGGATATTAAAATAAAAAGAGCCTGGCTCTTTGATTAGACTATAAGATTGGGTCTTATCTATGAAATGTTTATTTAATAGTATTCAGTATTTATTTAATAGTATTTAATAGTAACTAGCACAGAGTAGGCACTCAATAAATGCCTGCTGAATGACTGAATTCAGCCAAAAAGGTTATAGATTAACTATGTGGCCACAAGTAATCAATTAAGGACAGTTCCATGAAGACAATCAAAATGAATGCTTTTAGAAGCATTTCTGAAGCTATTGATTAATTAACTTAATCTTGGAAACAAAAACATTAATAACCTGAAATTTTATGCAGCTTTCTTCATTTTTAGCATAACACAGTTTTACAAATAGCAACAGCTCAGAATCAGGAAAATAAGCATGCATGCCACAGCACAATACCTTTCAATTTAACTGCTAAATCAACATAGGAGTGCAAAAATGCCATGGATACGGCTTGCCCTACATAAAAATAAAAAAATTCAACAGATATTACAACATGCATATCTCCAAAGCATTTATACATAATAAACAGAGATTTATGAGGTTTCCCAAAATTGTTATTTCTTAGTAAGTATACAAACTCAATATTGTTCCAAACATTTAAGAATATACCAAATACAACTGATTTTCTGCGTTCAGACTGGAGGGAATATACTTGAACAGCTGTTATTTAAAGATAAAAGCAATACATTTCCTATAAATCTATAAGAACTGTTAACATATCAAAAGCATTAGCTTGAATCACAATATTCCTAAATTAACAAGCTGAACATCTAGTTTATTCCTTAACCTTCAATTTGTAAGGCAGATATATATATAATCAGTTTTACAATCCCAGAACCAGCTAAAAGGAAATGTTTCATTATGTGAACCTTACTTGGGACTTAAGAAAGCTATGTCATCTTACACTGCGCAATATGTAGAATGCAAAAATAAAACCTGCTTATTTTAATGTCCTGATATGTAATATAGTCTCCTCTAAAGATTCATACTCACAACCAGCATAGAAAAGCACTATGCTGTCCGAAGCCATTACTGTCGCGTTAAATGTCTTTCCTGTTAGTTCCACCGTGAGTTCCAAAGGCAGCTGTCTCTTCCTGTCTCTGTAAACACTTTCTGCCACTTCATCATCTTGCATTTCTAAAACATTTGAGAAGAATGTAATGTGTATATAAAAGTGTAATTAAAAATAGTTAAACTCTTTTCCCACGTGAGCATTTGAAAATTTGGCAATCGATAAGACTTTTGAATTTACACTATCTTATTATTTAAAAATGCATGTTGTTTAGCCGAAACCGGTTTGGCTCAGTGGATAAAGCATCGGACTGAAGGGTCCCGGGTTCAATTCCGGTCAAGGGAATGTACCTTGGTTGTGGGCACATCCCCAGTAGGGGGTGTGCAAGAGGCAGCTGATTGATGACTCTCTTTCATCGATGTTTATAACTATCTTTCTCCCTTCCTCTCTGTAAAACAATCAATAAAAAAAAAAAATTTTAAATGCATGTTTAGAAAACTTTCTAGTTTTCTGAATTCCTACCCTAAATAACTCCGAGGTGCTTTCTGACTCAGAAACGGTGAGTCAGAAAGCACTTATTTAAACTTGTCTGGAAATAATATGAATATTATATTTTGTTTGTAATAAAATATTAATTTAAAATTTAAAAGTTCAGTTTTATTTTGCTTTCACTGTATGACAAGCACTGTGACAGACACCAGGGAAAGCAGTAGACAAAAACAGATATTTTCCCTGACCACATGAAAAACCTTTATACAAAAGGGTCAGACAATAACCTGATCACTGAATAAATACATCATTATAAATTGTGATCAGTTAAAAAAGGAAAAGGATACAGTGAGAGATTATAACAGGGCGAGTTAAATTGGGAGATCCAAAGTCTTCCAGGTAGAGAATCAAGAAAAAAAATGTCTGAAGCAAAAAGAATAATATAAACATATGCTAAGACTTGGAGACATAAAAGAGCTTAGTATATACTAGATGCATAAGGAAGGTAAAACTGACTAAAACAAGATGAGTTGGAGGAATAAATGGTATGAAGAAAACTCTAAGCTGGCAGTGGCTGGATCATAAGAGTCAAAAATTTTGGCTTTTATTCTAAATGCACCAAGTTATGGTGGATTCTGAATATGTAAAAACCTATCATTAATTTAGATAGACTGGCTAGCAACCAATTGCCCATCCATCCATCCATGTAAGTGGTAAAAAACACATTTTAAATCCATATTCTGTTGGAGTTTGTATAAACTGTATGGTAACACTGAAGAGGCATCTAACTTGATTAGAGAGACATTAAAACTTCCTAGAAGAGTTGACACTAACTGAATAGAGCATGACAATTACAAGTGCAAACACTGACTACATATCTGATGGTACTAAGATTACTGGGTTTTAGATGTAGTAATAACAACAATTATGGTAATTTTAAAAGAGAAATCCTTATATCTCTGAAATGCACAGGGAAATATTAATGAATGAAATTGTATATTTGATGTTTGCTACAAAATAAGGGGTGGTAGTGGTTATAACAGGACAGGCATGGGTTGATGGTAGTTGGATGTGGCCAGATAATGGATACCAGGAGATTTGTTTTATTATCCTGTCTACTTTGTAAGTTCTTAATTCTCTGTAATAACACAGTAAAAGAAAGGGAGAAAGTGAGGAAGGCAATAAATGCCAGGGTGCTTGTTCCAGCATTACAAAGGCTTCATCAATCTAGAGAAAGGCTGTGTACAGATTAAATAAGAGTCCAGAGACAAAAGATAATTTTGAAAGGCCTTGGGGGTCAGAGGAGCTTCAGCTAAAGGATCTAAGTTTCTCTTTGTCTCAGGACCCTTGCTTTTTATTAACACAATTTGTCCTAAGGCAAGGTGGAGATAATACACTTCAAAGGGTAGGGTACAGAAGCATTGTGATTGGGGAATAGCCTACAGCTGTTTAGGTGTTTGGCCAATAGGAGGCAATAACATGTAGACTGAGATGCTCTGAGCTGTCTGACAGAAAACAATCATCCTATTCAGGTTTGGGGGAAGTGCCTTTCAGCCATTCCAACAGGTGATTACATATGTGACTCAGCCCTTGTTGAGCCCCCAAGTTTCATCAACCTTTTGATGAAACTTTTGTAATTATGACATGCTGGAATTGGCTTCCGGCAAATATAGATAGAGAACTAGAGTATTAATTTCCATATAACTTCTAATACTATACAATAAAATATTGGATCTAAATTTCAGTACAACTCAGCAATTTTCAATTGCATCATGCTATCCAATTCATAACATTCTGGGCTGCAGTGTGAAACATAAGCATTGCACTACATTAACTTTAAGGTACTTATAAAAAATCTTTAGTGTTGAAATTATTACAGATGTCCCCATTTTGTTCCCCTTTGACCCCCTCCATCCCATATCCACACCTGCCCTCAGGCCTTCACTATACTATTGTCTGTGTCCATGGGTTAAGGTACTTTTAGATACCACATTCTATGACATTAAAAAGTTATGTCCTCAATACTCAAATTGATAAAAAGCTATTATCTTATTTCTTACAGGGTAGAACAAAAGTAGGTTTATAGTTACGTGTATGGAAAATAATATAATAGTTAACAAGTAATACAGGAACAAACTGTTTCATGTACTCACAACTGTAAACCTACTTTTGTCTCACCCTATATATAATGTTTTTCATTTTCCTGCCATTCCTTTATTATTTCCTAATCCATCTTTTTTTCTCTATCTTGTTCCAATACCTCCTTTCCCTCTTTTCTGGTCTCTCTCTCTTAATAAGCTACACTCACTTGTAAATTTTCTCACTCCTCAGCTATACCTTTCACCTATCCATAATACATATACTCTTTTAAGTCATACATGTTTAATTATTTTTTTCCATATTGTCCTTTTATAGAACTTAAATTTTATTCTGATTCATCCTGCCTGTGCCCATTTCCTCTGAAGGGCATTTTTCTACATGATAACAAACTCTTTCTTAACCCTCATCTATTCCTATATAAATGGGAATGAAACAAGATGGGAAAATTATTTATATGGGTGTGATATCACACAATATAATGAGCCAGCATGCATTACAAAAATAGGGAGTTAAAACAAAACAAAACAAAAATCACAACAAAACAAAAATCAAAAGGCAGAGCTATAAAAGAAATTCAAGAGGGGAAAAAAGAAATACAAGAACTAAGCCAGGGAAAGAAGGCAGGTAGAGTTGTAGAAGAGAAAGCAACATAGAGGACAATAAAGGCCAGAGAGTCAGGAAGCAATATGGGATATGAAAACATGGAAATCTTAAAACAGCGACTCCTACCGAGGAAAGAAATCTTATTAAACTGACATTGTGCAATTTTCCTGACTCTGAAGACTATAATATATGAATCATGATAGGAAAACAGCAGGGAGCAAGAGACCAGAACACAGGTCTATCTATGGAATAACAATGCTATGGAGGAGAACTCTGGCTTCAACCACAAGCAATTCTAACCTCTATGAAAAGAACTAGAACATAGCTCAAACTAAGAAATTGGTTACTGGTAACAGTTAAAGCTCAGAGCCCTTATTAAATTTATAATATAAACTTTGATCATAATAATGATAGATCTCATGAAAAAATATACAAATTATTTCCTTCCCGTGGTTCATAATAATAGTATTATATAAAACATTCAACTATTTACTAAATGGGATCTAAGAATGAACAAGATATAACCCCTGCCTTATAGATAGTGTAGATTAGTGAAGAGAGAAATTAAATGAGCAATTATAGAACAGGATTAATGCCATGAAAAAAGAAATGATAATGCTCATAAATAAAATTTCAAGTCAGAATGATTATTCTAAGCCAGGTTCCACCACATGCCATTTATGTGACTTTGGACAGATGATTTAACTCTGCTAAAACAAACATTCTTCACCCACAGAATGAAGGTGACATTGGCTAACTCAGAGAATAGCAATCAAAGTAAAGAATATGAAGGGGAGTAGCCTTAAAAACTATAGAATACTTCAAAAATATAACCAATAAGAGCAATAAAAAACAGAAATAACATGTTAAGTAGAAGTATTGAAATGCTATTGAAATTTACTCCCTACATTGTTAACAATCAGATTTATTTATAACTATAAATTTAATGTTCATTAAGAGTTTCACTTCCTAATAGGAGTAATAAAAATAAAATGCCATGTGTGGCTCCTAGGTCGTTTTTAAACATGGAGTAGGCTGGAAGGGTTGAAAGAACTGATGTGGAAGATAAAGGTACAGATGTGGGAAGCTAGAAGCCTAACAATGAAAGTTATCACCCTAAACAGAATAAGGTATCCTTTCATCTTTTCACCTAGCAATTTGATAAAATGACTCAAATAAATTTCTTCAGGTTTCTTCCTAGTCTTGAATGTGAATACATTCTATAAGAGGAATGGGTGAGGTGAGCATCACAAAACATATTACCCATATCTGGACCTTCCATGTCATCGGCTTCATCTTCTCTTGTTTCCTCAATGTGTGTGTTATTTTCTACATAGGATATTACTAAATCAGCATCATGTAACACCAAAAATTCCACCAGCATTCCCTACAAATAATTTTGAAAAACATAACTAAAATATAACAAAGCATTTTAATATAAAAATATTTTACTTGTTGACACTATAATCAAGTTAAAACTTTGAACTTCAATTTAAATTCAATAAAACCAAAAGAGGAAATTAACTCCCCAGTCACTCTGAAAAGTATCCAAGTATACTTCATATAAAAAGATAGTGTGCACTACGGAAACAGATGGCAAAAAAAGAACTGGAAGTCTCACTTCGGGGGAGGGTTTGAAGTGGGAGGTGCGGGGAGGGGGAGGGAACTAAGTGAAAAAGGTGAAGCGATTAAGAACTACAAATTAGCAGCTACAAAATAGTCACGGGATGTAAAGTAGAGCATAGGCAATATAGTCAATAATATTGTAATAATTTATGTATGGTGCCACGTCAGTATTTGAAATATGGAGAGGAACACTTTGTAAAGTATGTGACTGTCTAACCACTATGCTAAACACCTGAGACTAATATAAAATAATATTAAATGTAGTTGTAAGTGTTAAATAACATTTAAAAAGGAAATCTCACTTGTTTTTTTTCTTCACAATTACATTATACTGAAATCTGGAACATTTCACATGTAACAGTAAATCCTACCTAAATATAAAATAGAAATAAATATATACAATTTTATTGCAAAAAGAGCCAATCACTATAATCCCACTAAAGAGTTTTAATTGCCTATTTAGCTATAAATATAAAAAATTCTATCTGCTCCCAGATATTTTAAGAATGCCAAATTCTATTCCAATTGACATTATGCCATTGAAATTTCTTTGCTAATGCCCAACAGCAACTAGATTACTTTAGTAAACTATCCCTGACTGTAATTATACAGTAGAATAAAGGTAAAGAAAAAGTTTTAAGTAGGTCTGTTCTTTCATATCACATATCTTCATCTTTTCAATTCTATATTCAAAGCAAAAAAATTTTTACTTCTGCAGAAACATAATGGAGCTAAAAAATAATAGAAATCAAAAATCAATAAAATCAAACTAAATTTATTCCAAATATACATAAAAATTGTTGTGGAAAACTTTTTTTAAATATATTTTATTTATTTCAGAGAGAAAGGGAGAGAGAAAGAAAGAAACATCAGTGATGAGTGAGAATCATTGAACGTCTGCCTCCTGCACACCCCAAACTGGGGATCTAGCCTACAACCCAGGCATGTGCCCTGACAGGTTCATAAGTCGACCGTTAACCACTGAGCCATACCAGCCAGACGTGGTAAATTTTTTTATTGAGGTATAACATTCACAGAGAAAAGAACACAAATTATAAGTGTATAGTTTGAGAATTATTTTGTTGTTGTTATTAAAAAATCCTCCCCCAATAATATTTTTCCCATTGATTTTTAGAGATGCGCTAAAGCAGGGGTACAAAGGGAGAGGGAGGAAGGAAGGGAGAGAGGGAGAGAAAAAGAGAGAGAGGGATAAAGAGAGAAACAAATGTGAGAGAGACATATGGATTGGCTGTCTCCTGCGCTCAACTCAACTGGAGCTGGGGAGCAAACCTGAAACCCTTCTGGTGGGCGATTCGACAATGTATTTTAAAAGCCTTAAAAATTCCCATTTCCTTTGACACATTTTACTTCCAAAAACTTAGCCAAAAGAATCAGTGATATTCAAAACAGCATACAAAACAGTATTCATCCTAGCACAATAATAAGTAATTAAATATCATTTTAAGTGAAAAGATATATAGCATGATCCTAATTTTTTTTTAAATATATAAATATATACAGTGGAACCTTGGTTCTCAAACTTAATTCATCCTAAAGGCTGTTCAAGAAGGATCTGTTCCAAAACCAAATCATATTTTCCCATTAGAAATGAAATAAACTGAATTAACCTACTAGACCCCCAAATGATTCCCTGTTTTGACCTCTCTTATATACAGTACATGTCTAATGTACTGTTTACTCTGTAAATAAACACTTCTTTTCTTAATGTATCGAACCACCCCCTCCTAGCCTTAAACTAACCACTTTCAGCATTCCTCACAGGTGTGTCCTTCAGGGCAGCAGGCAGCATCTTTGCTCTTCACATATCATTGCCCCTGAAATGCCATCACCTACCTGCTTTCATTTATCCTAACCAACAATCGTTTTTCTACTTCTTCAGTTACCTATGATCATTGTATCTTTCTTTCTTTTATATAATATATATATATTATTTATTTATTTATTTTTAATATATTTTATTGATTTTTTACAGAGAGGAAGAGAGAGGGATAGAGAGTTAGAAACATCGATGAGAGAGAATCACCTCTTGCACGCCCCCTACTGGGGATGTGCCTGCAACCAAGGTACATGCCCTTGACCAGAATCAAACCCGGGACCTTTCAGTTCCCAGGCGGACGCTCCATCCACTGAGCTAAACCGGCTTCGGCTGATCATTGTTTCTTTCACATCCTTAGCAACATTAGCGCTCTTGATGGCCTCTTTATGTTTTAAAACTATGCTAAGGTGGATTTTATCAGCAACAAGAGCATTCTCTTGTTGCCTCAGAGATGCTTTTTGTCATCCTAAGGTATCAGCTTAAAAGGGTTATCAGTTCAAAAATCGAAAACCAAAGTTTGGTTCAACAACTGAAACATTTTTCTGTGAACAACTTGGTCAAGAACCCAACTGTTGGAAATGGGAGATGTTCAAGAAATGAGGTTCGACTGTTTATGAATATGGGGAAAATACAAACTAACAAATGGAAAAAGCATACCAAAATATAATAGCAAGTTTGTTTGAATAGTGGCAATTTACAGTAGCAAGTTTGTTTGAATAGTGGCAATTTACAAAATTTTTCTATAATAAGCATACATTACTTTAAACAAGCAGACTTTGTAGACCAATCCACAAAATGACTAACCTCTTCTCTTTTGAAGGCAACATTAGCTTGCCGAGGAATGTCCACTTCCAAAGAGTCCCTTTTTCAAAATGGAAATAAATGTTTTATGTTGCTAATCTGAAGGATAACAGTCATCCAGGATGTCAATCTAAAATAGAACTGTAAGTTCTCATACTAAAAAGAAATTTATGAAAAAATATAACAATTTTGTGACTTAAAATTTCATATATAAACACAAACAAATTTTCTGATCTCTATTTTCATATCTTCATTTAGACAAATTTTATTGTCTAAATTTTAACCATGCTAATAATTTTAGACTTCAGCTCAGCAACTCATTCTAACAATACTAGAATCTATTATAGATTTGAGTTTATTTACAAGTGAACAGATTACCACATTTAAATATGAGAAAATGTTAGAGTTTCATTAAACACAGTGAATGTGGCACATTTTAGATACCTTAACAAGAGCAGAACCCCTGCTTTTCCCAGAAGACGCCAAGCAATCCATTCTGCGGTTCTTCTATCAGCTTCATAGGTAGCTTGTTGACTAACAATAAACACCAGAGGTAATCCTAGTTGGAGATGAACAGTTGAAACTTGCTGAGGATCTTCAGCAACTTCAGTCTTCATTTTAAAAAAAAGAACAAAATGTGATGATAATGTTCCAACATTTGGATTTAAACCCTGCTGATTCTTACTCATAAAGTCACAAGTAAAAGAACAAGTCTGTGAAATAAATCTAATATTACCAGAAATGGTCTCATAATTTCTAAGTTTAATGCTTCCAATGTACCTATTTGGTTTAAGCATTATAAAACTATCAGAATTTTATAAGAGGTTAAACATAAAAGTACAACCCATAAGGAATAAGCATGGTATAAAGAGAAAACAAAACAGTGTGGTACTGATAAAGATAGATATTTCAAATGAAATAGAAGCGATAACTAAGGAATACATTCTTTCAGATAAGAATTTCACATGTATTAAGACATTACAAAACAATTACCACAGCAGCTTGAATACACACAGCTAATTTCACTCCCTCCAGAAGTCCCAGGAAAACTACAGCAGTAGGTTTTAGAAGAGAAAAACATACTTTCATGAAGAAATGAAAAGAGAAAAGTCAGCAAAATTTTGGATGCTGGAGAACAGAATCACTGACTCTACAAAACTCTAAGCCGTGAAGGAAAGAAAGCTAAGAAACAATTCCATTTTAGCTGCAGAATAAATCCTACAATGGTTCAAGAACTTGTCAGCGCCTGGTATCGCTGAAGCTGGGAAAGAAATAATGGAAGAGGGGTGGCAGGAAGGATCTTTTAAAGGGAGGAATAGGTAAAAACTTTGGAGAGGCAGTTAGGTCCCCAGATTCCTCTTCCCCAACTACCTGAGCATAGGAAGCTTTCCCTCAAACCAGGAGACCTGGAGGGAGGGGACAAGGGATTAGGAACAGCGGAGTGTGTGGATAGCATGCCAAACTCAGGGGAATGGAGTAAGCAAATACTGAGAGGCTACCCAGTCCCTTCCCACTCTCAGTTCCTGGAATGCTAGCACCAGGCTTCTGTCTTCAGGTGGGAGATCCCTTTCTGGGGATCTTGGGTAGAAACCCTGAGTCCGCCCTCCTGTGCTTCCTGGACTGCCCAGCCTTTCCAGGCTGACACCACGGTTTAGGGTTTGGATTCTCAGCTTGGCTCTCCAACCAGGCACTGATTTCAAAACTACGATTACATAATTCCTGGTAAGTATAACAAAGTGAAATAAGTTCTGAAAATCTCCCTTCTCATTACCTATCTTAAAAAAAAAAAAGTTTTTAGAACAGCAAGAGAAAATTCATGAGCAGAAATTTTAGAAAAAGGGCACAACTTCACATCAGAATGCTGTAGCCAAAGAAGAAACAGATTTTTAGTAAAGCTTGAGATGAGTCCTAATCCTGCCCCCAATGGCAAAAACAGTACTGCTATGTCGACAAAATCCTGAGAATTCTTCATAATATCTCAATATTGAAAGAAAAGGAAATGAGTCTGGAGAGAAATAGTGAAGAACCGTACAGTGAACTGATATCTTCCTTTTGGGGCTCTATGCTGAAACGGGAGATCAAAACCAATCCAGAGAATATTCTCCTCATGAAAATAAGATAAATGCTCCTCCTCTGTATGAAGAGATAGGAAAGACTTATGTACTGCTTTTTAAAAAACACTGTTTGAAGCCAAAATCAAACTAAACAAAACTGACTCAAAGAACTCAGCAATGAGCCAGTAAAACTGGGACTGGACTGGTGAACTCTAAATCTATTTAAATGTAAAAGCAAGGCTTTTTAAAAAGTGGGAACTATGGTTATAGAGCAACATAAATATTATAAATCCTAATAATGTAAAATAACAGAAAACTGGGATGGAAATAAATGTCTGAAATTAATTTTCTCATCTTTCACAACAAGGGGTGATCAATACTATCTTAAATGAAAACATCGTTTTTTAAGAAATGATTTAATCTCCCAATGTTTTTCATAATCATTTCAACACTTAGGACAATATTTCCTAAGAGCCCTCTAATGATGAAGAAATGCCCTGACCAGTAGCTCAGTTGATCATCAACCCATGTACCGAAAGATTACATTTCAATTTTGGTCAAGGTACATGCTGGGATTGTGGGATCAATCACCAGTAAAGGGCATATAGGAGGCAGCTAACAGATGTTTCTCTCTCATCCTATTCTCTCTCTTAAAATCACTAAAAACTTATATATTTTTTAAAGTTCCATAATCCCTAATTTTATACGTTTCTTTTTCTTACTAAATTCAAATAAGATTAAATGTAATACTATCAATTAATTCATTCATCTCTCTATTTGTAAATGTCTTTTATGACTGGTATGATGGTTACCTAACAGCTTATTTCTGAATGATGAGAACAGGCAGCTTTAAAAAAAAAATTTCTTTACACTTTGCTGCACTGTTTGAATTATTTGTAATACACCTGCACCATCTATACGTATAAAATCTATTCCTATAAAAAGCCAGCAACCGCTATGCCAGAATGACGGAACGACTGATTGCTGCAACGCTCACTGAGGCCAGCGAGCCATCCCGATCAATCGATCATGGGTTGGAACCAGCTGGCCAACCTCTCTCAGCCCTTCCCCCCGGCTAGCTCCGCCCCCATCAGCCTCTCCCACCCTGATTGAGGGTGGGGTGGCCAGCCAACCCTCCCTCAGCCCCACCCCCAGCCGGCCCCACCCCAGATCGGCCTCCCCCAATCCCAATCAGGAGCAGGGCCAGCCAGCCAACTGCCTGTGGTGACTCCCCCGGCCAACCCCACCATCCCGAATGGCCTGTGGCCCCTCCCTCTAGTCAGCTCTGCCCCTGATTGCCTCCCACACTTTGATCAGCCAACCACATCATGGTCCCTCCCCCAGGCTGCTGACCCCAATTGGCCACCCTCCACCCCATTCAGGGGTGGGGATGGCCAGCCCACCACCCATAGCCCCTCCTCACGGCTGATCACCAACACCTACTGAGTCTCCATAAAATTTTTCCAGGCTAATACTAAGGAAAGAGAAACACTAGAAATGCTATATTGCCAATATTTACCAACTTTTAAAATAGTGATCAAAATATTCTTGATATTTTCTTGACCATGATGTGGTCTTTGTGATCTCAGTATGGTCACAATGCATTATAATTACCACAGAATAATTCCATTACAAAAGGACCTATTTGGGTTTCAATACAACACTTCAAGGCATGAAATATTCATTTTATGAACAATGTATCATCTCTTCTACCTTTAATAAGAAAATATTCCTAAATTCCCCCTAAATTCAAGACATATATGTTCAAGGAAAAGATATAGCTCATCTAAAGTAAAATGCATATCTGTGAATCAAAGCAATAAATTTAACATATGAATTATCCAATACATTAAAATAAGACACATACCAGCAGAGGTGCTTCCATTGACTTAATAAATCGATAAATGTCAACTGTAGTCAATGGCTGTCCCATTAGTGTTCTTCTACATTGTTGGGTCAAGTCCAAAACTTCTTTACAATGAAAAAAGTAGAGATGTGCATATTTTATATCCTCCATTCTGTAAATTAAAAAACAGGGGCAGACTCACTTGAAGTTTGATGTGTGATCCTTCTATTATCCAGAAAGACATTTTAAAAATCTCTTTAAGTCTCATGCTTTTGAATGAATGTTTTAGTAAAAGTCTAAAGGAGTATAACATTAAAATAAAATGGACCCAAGCTAAAGATACATAATATTAAAGAAAATTAACTATAATATTTTTAACAAACCACGTGAGTTGTGTAAGCTATTATTTTCCTAAATTCTTTCATGGTAGCTTCTAAAATTGGGTTATACGTAGGTCGACATAATATTTTTTTTAAATAAAAGCCTGTCACCTTGAGGACAATAAGATTATCTTCAAATAGAGTTTTCTTTCTAGAGATATGTAAAATAAAGCTTTTAAACACAAATTTTCTAGGTTTAATTTAAACCCAAATCTGTTTTGAATAAACTTCAGCCAACACATGTCTTAAGATAGAAACCATATGACACTTTGTGGAAGTTTGTAAGGTTGCATCTGAAATATTATAAAACTCAGCAAATATGGCTTATAATTTGAGTTTTGGCATTCCCTTCAATATGATAATTCAAAGATAAACTTATAGTGGGAAAGTAAGATTTGCCAAAATTAAAATAGCATTTTTAAAAGTCTTCATATGGCATTAGTAGAGTTTGGCAAATATTGCAAATTTTTTTAATTTTTAAAATGTTTTATTCTTGCTACATGCTTAAACTGAGTTCCAAGGTTCACTGATTTCAATTTTAAAGCATCTCTAATCGATTCAATGATTTTAAAAAATGATCAAAGATTTACTTAATATCTACTGTATATCGGACCCTATGCTAAAATACAAAAGGCTAAGATGATTAAGACAATTCAAATTCATGAGAGGCTTACACTAAAGGAGATATATTTCATAAAACAATTAAAATGTTTATAATTGCTATAATATACAAAGAGCTATGGAAAACAAATATTTAATTCTGCCAACCCATTCCCCTTGCCGAAAATCATTTAACTTTATCAGTTTTCTATGCACTAACCTCTAAATTTACAGTTGTAAAATGGTATTTAATTAGTTTTGTTCATTATTATCAAATAATCACTATTTTCTGAAAGGTCAGCAAAAGGACTCAAAAACTTGCACGGTATAAAAAGGTCACACAGTCACCATCTGGCCTTGCTCCTGAAGAGCATTTTAAAGCCAAATTTAAAGTCTTTAAAATGCACTGGTTATTCCTTGTGTCCATAAAAAAATATATATATATATGTAACTCTACATTTGCCCAGACAACAGTCAAAAGAAGGCCTCTACCTAAAATTGTAAGCTAGGAAGTAGACAAAAAAAAATCTAAAACAATCCATTCAAAAAAGTATGACAAAGTAACTTATAGAACTCTCACAAATAATTTCTGGAACTTAATTATGAAAGCTTTTATCACTGTGGGATATCTATTCCTACAATATACTTGGTCACTCACAGGATCACATCTTGTAGCTTATCCATATTGTATTCATTCACCTTAATCTAACATTATTTCTGCATATTTAAATTAATTCAGACAGCAAATGATTGTAATGAAGGAGACTTCAGGTTTAATTTATATATTCACATCTGCTTACAATTCCTCTTAGACAAGTCCACGTTGTGAAAGCATAGAGGAAATGATAAATAACTAATGTGAAATAAGTAAACTTAAAATTGTTGACATACTCCTCTTAAACATACCCAATACTTTCCAAAAGGGCAATTTCTGTCGTTAAGACAAATTGGTATGTGTTTCCATACACAAAAGCAGCTTCCATGACCGCCCTGTGCTCTGAAGAAGAGATAAGAGAGAGGAAGAGTTAGTTTGTGTGTCTCTACATAAGCTTCTATTCTCTACACTGCCCTATATCCTTTTGTGCTCTAATACATTTAAAGAAAAATCCTTTGTAGAGATTTCAATGGGAAAATGCAAGTGGTTAAAGAAGTTATGAAAAGGCCCTAACTGGTTTGGCTCAGTAGATAGAGGTCCCAGGTTCGATTCCAGTCAAGGGCATGTACCTTGGTTGCGGGCACATCCCCAGTAGGGGGTGTGCAAGAGGCAGCTGAATCGGTATCTTTCTCATGTTTCTAACTCTATCCCTCTCCCTTCCTCTCTGCAAAAAATCAATAATATATATATTTTTTAAAGAAGTTATGAAAAGTCATTCCACTCAAAGTAAGGTAAGAATTAAGGAGGAGTATAGAATGAGTTAAACTTGAGAATATAACATATGAAAAATCTGTGATAGCTTCTTCCTAGCAGCAGGGAAGAGAATATGAATCCACCATACCACTTTTATATGTTATACTAGAGGCCCGATGCATGAAATTCACGCAAAGGGCTCGGCCCTCACAGCCACAGTGGCTGTCTCGGGCCTTGAGCTCCAATGTCCTTAAAGTGGTTTGGCTGCCCGGTCTAATTAGCATATTATGCTTTTATCATTATAGATATGTAATCTTTGTTGATTATGGCTTCGTTTTCTTTAATGAAACTTGTTCTTAAATATAGTTTAAAGAGATAAATCATCTTACACATTAAGACAAAAAGTTTACCTTTCACCCATTTCCAATTTTTTCCAAGAGACAACCAGTTTCAACTCTTTCACTGTTTGTGTATTTACCAAGTCTCTAAATTACATCCTTATACTCTTATTTCCTAATTTTTTGTGTTAGTATTATTGATTAACTTCCCACTGTGGAAGTTGATAAATTAGCTCTCTTCTCCAAAACCCCACTCCACAAATGTACACATTTCTATCCCCTCAATTTTCCCAATATAGTTCTAATTTTTATTAAATCAATAGTCCATATTTACATTGTTATGAATCAGTAATTATTATTTACAAATGAGCCATACAGTACAAAATTAGCACTTTTCCTCTTTTAAACAACTTTTTTTCACTATAGTTACACCATTCTTTTTCTATTTTTTTTTTACATATCTCTTACTAATTTATTCCTAAACTTTTGTACAATTGTCTAACCCTCTTAATACTTCAAATATATTGAGTGTACTAACTATCCCCTCTTCTTGGAAAGTTTTCTGCAGAAATGTCCAATATGGACTATTGCTAGTTGACCTGCTGTGCAAATTTCCTCCTGAGAACTCACTTCATCATCATCCTGGAGACCTCTTATTCTCGCTCTTGTATGAGGTCAACTGGCCTGTTATCCATATCTTCTTGAATGATTTGCCCCCTTGCTCCCATTCTCTAGCACTTCCCATGAGTGGAAGTATTGAATACATATTTTTTGCGAGCTTGCATTTCTGAAAGTGTCTTTATTCTACTTTCATAACCACAGTTTCCTGCTAATAAATTTCAAAGTCCAAGTCACTTCTGAGAATTCTGAAAGCATTGTTCCATTTTCTTCATTTTACGGGGCTTCAATTCAGAAAAACAATGCCATTCTGATTCTTGACCCTTTAACTGCAAACTTCTTTTTTCTTTCTGGAAAATTTGAGAATAATTTTGTTCCCAATATTCTGAAATTTTAAGATGAGATGCTTTGGTGTGGCTCTACATTCATCCACTATGCTGGGACTTAATGGGCTCTTTCTATTTGAAAGCCTGAATCTTTTAGTTCTGGGAAATTTTCTTGAACTGCTTCTTTGAAGATTTCCTTCTTTTCATATTTTTTCTTTTCTCCTCACTGTCATTTCCAGACAGTTACCTTCTTCTCCACCACCTAACCTTCTATCACTTGCATTTAATCAGATTATTCTATTTTGCATTTCATCAGATTATTCCACTCACCACTCTGTCATGTTAGTGTCATATACTAGTACCATCCCAGCCAGTGTCATTCCCCCTTATCACACTGTAATTTTCTCCAGTGCTACTCCTGTCATAATCATTAGTGATTTTATTATCTCCCTAGATGATCCATTCAAAAATCCCTGTCCTTCTTCATAGACTCCAATGATCTTTCTTCAACCCTACCTTAACCACTCACTGTAATGGTCCCACTGCAGGGCTTTAATTAGCAATTACTGCAAATTCCTCCATCCCCTTACCTCCCACCACCATACTTCCATCTGACTAGGTCACTGAGTCTAGCACATAACTCTAACCTTCGAGGACCTACAGTCTTACCACTTTTCACTGTCAGCCCTCCCCTACCTACCCTCCCCACCACCACCACCCTCCTCAAGTCCTCTCTTGCCTCATAACCCTGCTTCAATTCCATTGTCAGTCTTTATAATCACTCCCCTGCCCATCTGGCTAAAACATAACCCAGGTTAAACCAAATATTCTGCCTATTCTGTACTTACAACTTGATTGTCAAAGTTAGATCTTTGAAAAAAACAAGAAAAATCTATGTTTATAAAAGGCTAACCAACTGGCCAACAGGTCCACTGGCTGACTGACTGGCTGGGAGGTATGACACACACTGACCACCAGGGGGCAGACACTCAATGCAGGAGCTGCAGAGCGACAGCAACTTTGCAAAGTGCCCTCTTGCTCTCTGGGATCCCTTGGGGCAGTGGTCAGCAAATTCATTAGTCAACAGAGCCAAATACCAACAGTATAACGATTGAAATTTCTTTTGAGAGCTAAATATTTTAAACTTAAACTTCTTCTAACACCACTTCCTCAAAATAGACTTGCCCAGGCCATAGTATTTTGTGGAAGAGCCACACTAAAGAGGCCAAAGAGTCGCATGTGTCTCACCAGCCGCAGTTTGCCAACACGGCCTTGAGGGATGTCAGATTGCTGGTTTCAGTTCGATCCCCCACAGGCTAGGCCGAGGCACCCCATTTGCCAGAGGAACCCCACTCACTTGGCAGACACCCTTTGAGCCCTGGTGCCGCCCCAGGTACAGCTAGCCAAGGAGGGACACCGCTCCAGGGCATGTCCGGCCCATCTCGCCCAGTCCTACCCCACCAGCCACCTTCTAATTAATTTCCTTTGATGTGCACAAATCTGTGCACTGGGCCTCTAGTATATCATAAATAGCAAATACCAAAACATTTAAAAAGACAGTAAACATTTACTGAATACTATAAACTACTACACCAGGTACCATGAGGGTTATAAGAAAATAAAAATGGTAACAGCTAACCTAGAACACCTATTACATGCCGGAAACTATTTTAATTATTCAAACTTATTTGGTCCTCACAATAATACTAAGCACAAAATTTTTCACCATCTTATCAATTAGGAAACAGGTTAAGTAAATTGACAAAGGTTATATTATAAATAATTGATGGAGCAGGGAGTCTAAACTAGACAGTCTGCCTCCAGAGTTCTTATTCAACCACTATACTATGCTGCCCAATTAAAAACAGAAAATGTAAGAATGAAGATGAATTAAATTTACTTTAAAATATTAAGATTGTGGTCAAAATACTCTATTTTAAGCTCTTCAATATACTCACATAAATAACAGATGCACAGCAAAGATTAAAGTAAAATTTAATAAATACCTGGTGTTCCAATGGCTCTTACATATGAAAATGCAATGTTTGCTTTTCCTTTCAGAGCATTTTCTATATTCCGAAGGTCTTCCGGGGTAGTAATATATTTTACTTCATTAAAAAGAAGTGTACTAAAATAAAGAGATGTAATTAGTAGGAAAATCTGGTATGAACTTAGTTATTTCATACTTTATTTGTTGAGTAAATTAATAAGTGTAATTAAAAATTTAGTAAGAACCCAAGGATTTTAATACTAAACTAAAATCACTCCCTAAATCATTCGTCTGTCCCTGAGAACACTGACCAGGGATAGTTGTGAGAAATGGTGCTCATTTACCATGATAACCACCTCAATGAATTTAAGCTGTATTCACTAACATGCTAGTCTGGCCAAATAATCCCTTATGGTTAGTTCTCTCAGCTTGAATACATTAGAACACTTCCCACATCTAAAATGCAAGCTTCTTTCCATGCCCTATAAGACCCTGCATGACCAAGACCTTGTCAACTCCTCCAACCTCATTTTGTCCTAGTATTTCTCTTGTCGATCACACTTCAGGCACATCTCGGGGCCTTTGCACACACAATTTTCTTTGCTAAAAACTATTTCCTCTGCTCCTTCTCATACATCTGGTCTGTGAGAAGCCTTCCTGGTTAGTCCTATGTAAGCAGGTCAGTAGCATTTTCCTCTCTAGTATCACAATTTATAAATCCTACATAATAAAAGTCTAATATGCAAGTTGTCCCCTTGGAAGTTCGACTGGCCCAGAGTTCTACCACTCCCTATGATATGCACTGACCACCAGGGAATGGCACAGAATGAAGGAAGACCCTGGCCAGCAGCCAGCAGCTGGGGCAAGGAAGGCCCCAATCGGCCCTGATCACTGGCCAGGCTTAGGGACCCTACCCATACATGGATTTCATGCACCAGGCCTCTAGTATTTATATATTTATTTACTTGTTTACCCCTTCCTGTCTCATTAAACTGTTAGCTTCATGAGACAGGAGCATTGCATTTTTTATCACTATTTCCATAACTTAGAATAGAACCTAGTACACCATAAGTAATTAATAAATATTTGTTGAATGAGTAAAAGAAAAAGTAGGATAGAATTATTTATTCCAATTCTTCATTTAAGAAATGCAAATTCAAAACACTGAAAAGCTTACTTACTCAAAAACCTTTACTGAATCAAGAAGTCAGAAACAAAACACAAAACAGATCTTCTCACTCCTGATTCAGTGATCTTTTTCACTTGACCATAATTCTTCCAAATCATCTTTTCAATGTATAAATCAGACTAATTGATCATATTTAGTCATCAAAAAAAATCTTTATTTTCTACTTCCATATATCTAACAACTCATTTCATTTAATATTTCTCTCTCTCTCTCTCTCTCTCTCTCTCTCTCTCTCTCTCTCTCTCTCTCTGTGTGTGTGTGTGTGTGTGTGTGTGTGTGTGTGTGTGTGAGTGTGTGTGTTAGGCAAACTTTAAAGATTTTTAAAAGTTGTTCCAAGTCCACATACTTAAATATACAAAGATTTTCTCAATGATCTCCAACAAACTAGGTAAGCATGATTTTCCTCTTATGGAAAACATGGCACTTTTTGCTAATATTGCAGTTCTTAAACTCTTTGACCTCAAGATACCTTAAAAATTATGAAACCTTAAAAATTATACAGTTCCTCCTTTCCTCAAAAAGTTAAAAATGGAACCCCATTTGACCCAGTAATCCCACTTCTAGGAATATATCCCAAGAAACCAGAAACTCCCATTAAAAAGAATATATGTACCCCTTTGTTCATAGCAGCATAATTTATAATAGCTAAGATTTGGAAACAGCCTAAGTGCCCATCAGCAAATGAGTGGATTAAAAAACTGTGGTACAGCTGAAAACCGGTTTGGCTCAGTGGATAGAGCATCGGCCTGTGGACTGAAAGGTTCGATTCTGGTCAAGGGCATGTACCTTGGTTGTGGCCACATCTCCAGTAGGGGGTGTGCAAGAGGCAGCTGGTCGATGATTCTCTCTCATCGATGTTTCTAACTCTCTATCCCTCTCTCTTCCTCTTTGTTAAAAATCAATAAAATATATTAAAAAAAAAAAAACCTGTGGTACATCTACACAATGGAATACTACACTGCTATAAAAAAGAAGGAACTTAAATCATTTGCAACAGCATGCATGGAAGTGGAGAGCATTGTGCTAAGCAAAATAAGCCAGTTGGAGAAAGATAAATATCACATGATCTCACTCATATGTGGTATATAATGATCAACATAAACTGATAAATAAAAACAGATCCAGAGACAAGGTAGCACTGAACAGACCTTCCAACTTCGAGAGAATGCAAAAGAGGGGGGTGATGGTTAGAAATCAACCAAGGGACTTGTATGCATGCATATTAGCATAAGCAATGCACACAGACACTGGGGCGGTGGGGGCTTGCCCTCAGGGGTGGGAGTGGCTGGAGGTGGGGAGGGTCAATCTGAGAAAAAGGAGACATTTGTTGAAAAGGAAAATGGGGGGGAGGGGTGGCTTCCAACCTAGTTCAGTATCTGGTTAAAACTATAATCTTACTTCCTCACTCTGACTGACTGGGTGGAGCTGCAGAGCCTAACCCCAGGGCCCTGCCACAGCTGACACGGAAGAAGAAAAAGATAAAGATCAAAATTATGAACAACAAATACATATCTATCAACAAGTGAATTTAAAAATCAAGTGAATAAAAAATCTGATGAACAGAATAAACTGGTGAATATAATAGAATCAGGAGCATATTATAGAAAGGGAGTGGACTGACAATTCTAGGGAGGAAAACGGTGGGAAGAGAATGGACAAAAATCATATACCTATGGATGAGGACAGTGGGGGGGGGTCAGGGCAGAGGGTGTGGTGGGGACTGGTTGGAGGGGAGCTATGGGTGGGGGTCAGGGCAGAGGGTGTGGTGGGGACTGGTTGGAGGGGAGCTATGGGTGGGGAAAGAGGAACAACTTTATAAATATCTGAACAATAAATATTTACTTAAAAATAAAATAATAATAATAATATCTTAGTATTATTATAAAAATATTGTGATTTCAAGGACACCCTAAAACCGCTGCCCTAAGTTAATCTGGCTTAAATATTGACTTTTTATTACAGATTTCTTTAACTTTTTAAAAGAAACATAAAACTTGATATTTTGCAATTCCCAGGGTGGTGGTGGTGGTTGTTGTTGTTTTTAAAGAAATATTTGCAGAGCAGTCTCACTATGGCTAGATATCTGCACATCTTTTCATTTAAACCCTTAACAATATTCTTGGAATATTCTTTTTCAACACATACCAGTAACAGTGTGAGGGATTAAATGATCTGCTCCAGATCATACTGATGGTCACTGGTAGAGCTGAGACTCGAATCCGGGTCTTTTGTCACTAAGGCCATCACTTTTAAACTCCTTTTTTACTGACCACTCATGTAAATGGGAAACCAGGTGGAAAGAGAGGCAATTAATGAATGACAATGGAGTGTTAGTGTCAATCTGGGCTATTTGTGGCTTATACATTTTGGCTAACGAGTCCAGGATTTCTCTTGAATTACTTCCAATCAACTAGAGGTGCCATCTAGTAAACGTAATAGGACTTCTGTGTAAAGCATAGCCTTAACATTTATATTCACCCTTTAACCTCTATTGCTCTAGCAGCTGTAATCTAGGTGCTTTGAAAATCAGATCTGAGAGAAAAATATCCCTAATCTTTTCCTCAAATAAAGACTGACACATATAAATTATTAAAAACCAGCATTTGGGGTAGCACTGCCACATGTCAGGAATAGCGCTAAGCATTTTATAAGTAGTGGTAATTAATCAGTTTTGGGACTCCCTAGCTCTGAACTCCTGTCTTTTTTTTTTTCTTTGTCTTTTTTTAATATATTTTATTGATTTTTTTATAGAGAGAAAGGGAGGGATAGAGAGTTAGAAACATCGATGAAAAACATCAATCAGCTGCCTCCTGCACACCCCCTAATGGGGATGTGCCTGCAACCAAGGTACATGCCTTGACCTGAATCAAACTGGGACCTTTGGGTCCACAGGCTGATGCAATATCCACTGAGCCAAACTGGTTTCGGCTGAACTCCTGTCTTTTTCTTGAGAATTCCCAGCTTCCGAAAGTCTTCATGGTGAAGGAAGGCCTCCTCACAGAAGGGCTGAGCCCCCTCACAAAGGCTAATTTAACCCCATTTCTCAAATGTCTCCAATCTCAAATAATCTGGTTCTCAACCAAGTTGTTCGCAGGAAAAATACCTGGGTTATCAACCAAAACTTCAGTTTTCAATCTGACAACCCTTTTATGTTGATATCTCAGGTGACAAAAATCGTCTCTCAGGCAACAAAGGAGATGATGCTTTGCTGCTGGCAGAAATCAAGGATTAGCACAACTTAAAGACATAGGGAGGCCATTAAGAGTGCTAATGTTGCTAAGGATGTGAAAGTGCTCAAAAAACAACCATCACAGGCAAATGAACAGGTAGAAAAACTTGTGGATTGGATAAAGGAAAAGCAGTTAGCCAATGATAGTATCTGCAAGGCAGTTATATATTTTAAAAAAAAATCTTCAGTTTAAGGCTTGTATGGTGTGGTTTCATAAATTTAAGAAGTGTTTATTTCTAGATTAAACATGTACTATATATTAAAATGTTAAACAGGGAATCTTTTGGAGGTCTGAAACATATTAATTCAATTTACACTATTTCTAACAGGGGGAAATGATTCAGTTTTAGAACAAATCACTTCTTGAACAGCCTTTCTGAAGGAATTAGTTCGAAAACCGAAGGTCCGTGATAGTATTATGGTAATCTTCTTTCCCAAGTTCCCTACTGCAGGGCACAGCTACATGACCCATAATCACCGGTCTGACATTTTGGAGGAGCTAGTGATATAAAGAATCAGGACACTGCATAAGTATTTGAAGGAGCAGGAGTACAACGGTCAGCTTCAAAGGCAGCAGCAAGAGCAGTGCGGATGATAGCCCCAGAGCACTCAGCAGGAATGCCACAGTCCCCTCCACACTATTTCCCTGTCATGACCACGACTTTAATTCAGAGCCGTATAAACTGAGTCCAGTTCTCCAGGTCTCCGAGCGAGTCAGAT